AAAAAAAAAAAAAAAAACAGAAACAATAATACAAAAAAAAGGTCAGTAATGTAAGAACAGGACAGGAACAGATTTGAAAAGGAAAGAATTTCTAGATGTAAAAATGTAGTCACCAAATTTAAAATCATAATGAATACAGTAGACAGCAAAGAAGATATAGCAGCAAAAAAATTCAGTAAACTATCTGAAGAAATTACCAAGAACAGATAATTGAGAGATAAAGAGGCAGAAATTATGATAGACTGTTAAAAGAAATAAGAGCGAGCAGGTCCAACATACCTCAAATGGTTTTTTAGAGTAGGGCAGAAGCAATACTCCAAAAGATTATGCATGAAAAATTCCCAATGTTAAACCTTTACACTGAAGAACAGTTTTTACTTCAACAGAAGATAAATGAAAAGAAATACACACCTAGACACACTGTCTCTAAGAAGCAAAATAAAAGCAAATTTTAAGCAGAAATAAAAGAACAGCAGTTAGATCACAGCACATAGGCAGTGTAACCTATGTGTTAAGAGTGATTAGAGATGTCAGTAGATAATGGAATAATATCTTTAAAATGCCAAAGGAAATTCTAGACTTAGAATCCTAGAATTCTGTACTCTATAAGCTACCACTAAAAAATTATAGTAAAATTAAAGCTATTTGCAAAGATGGGGAGAACTGACCACTCACAGACGTAGGTGAAGAACTTAGAAAGGAAAGGAGGATGAATCTCAGTCCTTAAAGTGAATGCATAAGAAGCAACTGCTGGTAAAGCAGAAAACAGAAAATGCCATATTATTTAAATTAAAAATGCTTGACAAGTCAGTGTGAGCAAAGCAACTGATAAACACGTCAATAAATCCAAAATAAGTACTTACTTAGTAAAAAAAAAAGAGACAGTAAATGAGAGGGCCAAAAACAGAGTAGATCTAAAATATTTTTTTAAAAAAATAGTATAAGAGAAAATAAAGGGAATTTAAATATAGACTAAAGTCTTTATTGGGAGGTAGATGGATATATTCACCTTAATTTTGTTTGTTGGTTTTTATTTTGTTTTTGAGACAGGATCTTGGTGTATAGTTCAGGATGGCCTCAAACTCCTAGGTACCTTGGGATGGCCTAAGCCTCCTGACTGACTTTTTTACCTTAAATTTTAGCTCAGCTATGAATGCTGGAAATTTAAGAATAACCTCTGAAAATCAAATGTGTAATTTCTGAATTAACAGAGAAGAGGACAATGTAGAAAATGCAATCCAATAAAAGGCCAAAACCGGGAAAAAAAATAAAGATAAAAAAATGGGAAATAAGCACAAAAGATTTTAGAAATAAGTACAAATATGGCAATAAGCATAAGAAATGAACACTGATTATACTTGACAGTTCAAAAAACACATTGTCTAATTATTTGAAGAACATGAAATGTCTACACACATACATACATACACACACATAACCAACAGAAAGTACTTATTTACAAAAACTACTTCCATATATTAGGCCTCAAAGGAATTTTTCTGAGGTACTAGGAATTGAACCCAGAGGCACTACACCACTTAACTATATCCACAGCCCTTTTTACTTTTTATTTTGAGACAGGATCGCCCTAAGTTGCCCAGGCTAGGCACCTGCTTCAGCCTCCCAAGGCTGGGATTACAAGTGTGTGTCACCACATCAGCCTCACAAAGGAAACGTCAGCAAATATCTGGAAACTAATAGCATCATACACCTCATCTAATCACAAGGAAAATGGAAATCGATCATGAAAAACACAGCCCAAATCCACTTAACAAAATTATGCAGACCTAAACACACCAAATGACATGTCAACACCCTTAGCTAGGTCCATGCAGGACAGTGTTTCACCTTGAACGCACATAGTTAATAAGAAAGAATGGAGTTAGGAAAAAAGCCAACAAGTTAACCTTCCCAAAATGGAAGAAATAATAATGGTAAAAATTAAAAATGCAAGTACTATACAAACAACTACAAATATAGAAGACTATGAAAACGTAACTACTCTAATTGCAGTCTTTTAATAAAAATGAAACAGCCCATCACTGCTTGGATGTTTAATCAGAACCTCAAATACCAGCAACCTTACCATAAAGATTGTAGTCTTACCATACAGATTGTAGTCTTTACAATCTGTAGTCAATGGCTTGGAATTCAGAAACAGATCTAGGCCACTTTGCACAATTCTGGCATAAAAGCCAGAGGGCTCCATCCCAGACTCCCTGTCCCCGCTCGAAGAACCCCACAAAACAAACAAGCAAAAACACCAAATTTAACCCAGAAACAGGGTGATCGCTTCAGCTCCCCTATGAAAATGATTTCTAGTGCTGGTACTCCAAAAGGCAATGCTTATTTTTTCAGGTTAAGCAAAGCCAAGCTTTAGCCCCACAACCCCACAAACCTTCTTCAGAAAGGCTGATAGCTTTTGAAGCTAATGCTTTTTCAAATTCTGGGCTAGAAGACAATTCAGTATGATCCACCTCTCCAACCTGTTTTTTAAAAGAGGAAAGACACAACAAAACAACTGCTTTAAATTTTATACTTGGATAGTTTTAAAATATCATAGACTATTTTACATAAATTTTAAAGATTTACATTAGTGGAACAAATAAACCAAATGGGATTAAATCCAACATGAGCTAAATGTTAGGGACTGATAAAGAGAACACTATTTTTGCTGCTCCCCGCCCCCCCCCCCCCCGTGCCCTTTTGAGACGGGGTCTTGCTATAGTCCTGGCTGGCCTTGAACTCACTATGTAGCCCAGTCTGGCCCCAAACTTACAGTGATCCTCCTGTCTCAGCCTCCCAAGTGCTGAGATTACAGACGTGTGCCACCATAACTGGCTTTGGAGCCCAATTAATTTGATCTTTTAAGAGACTTTGGAAGTAGCACTACGTAATATATGAATATGAAAGAAACCTTAAATACCACCCAGAAAAAACCTTTCATTTACAGATAAGGGGATGAGGACCAGAGAGATTTAGTGACTTTCTTAGTGACAGAATACAGATTTCAACCCAGGCCTTCCAGGCTGATGGTCAGTGCTTGTTCAGAGTTCCTCTGCCTCCAGGCCTACAAGCTCTTTTTAATTATGCAAGTCAAAATGTTTGTGTTGATGTACACATAACAGGGGAAGCACATTTTAACAAAAAGACCAAATCTGTCATTTGAATTAAAGTTATTTCCTTCAAATGGTCACCCTGGAAGACTAAATACTTTCAGACTCTGAGCAAATGTCTTTAAACTTCTTTGAAACTATCTACAAGCGTAGCTAAAATTATTAGTAACTGTTCCAGTGGCAAATCTTTAATATATAAATTGATTTTATAACTGCCAGAATCAAAAAAGCAAGTAAAAAGAATTAAGATGTCATATACATGTAGTATACCAACTCTTCACAATGAACGTAATCATTATGTTGTACAGACATGTACACTACAAATAAAAAATTAAAAATAAAAACAAAAATTTATCTCATGTGCTTAAGACTCAAAAAGAACCTCCAAAACAAACAAACAAGCAAAACAAAAAAACAACCCAGCAAACACAACAGCAGAGCAAAGGCAACCCATTGAACACATTTTTCAAAGACCTGCTATGTGCAGCAAAAGACAGTCTTTACCTCCTAGTTGTAAGAGGCTTGGGCTAAGGGAGGCCCTGTCAGAATTGGCACAAACATTTCTAGAATGCCAAGCTACCTCTGCCTTCCTCCAGAACAGATTCAGGAAAGTCAACATGAATATTCTAAAAGGGCGTCCTGGCTGGCCAGGACACGCACAACTGCCCAACAGCCATGGAACCAACAAGGCCTACTGAAGGTTCATCTTGATGCTCGCCCCTTGGCCGGCTTCCTACTGAGTCTCGCTGCAGCCTGTCCCTGCTCAAACCTTGTTGCTGGGTTCTCATCCTTAAAGGCAGCGCTTCTCTCCTTTGCTTTCTGTTTCTCACACCATGTGCTCTCCCCATCATGGTCTGCACTTCCTCATAACTGATGACTCCGACATCAGCACCTCTAGCCCAGATCTAGCTCCCTGGCTCCAGAAACATGTGTCGAGCTGCTGGCTAATCTCACAGCACCTCAGGGTTAACGTGTCCCTGACACAAAACCACAGTGTCTCTTGTCCCTAGGACAGGCCCTCATGAACACACCTCTTCCTCTTTTTCAGTTTGAAACTGGTTCTGCCATTCCCCCAGACTGGAATCGGAGCATTCTGTGAATCCTGGTTGTCTTCACTCTTCCACAGCCTGTCAATCTCTATACCCTGTTACAACTTTCTCCTACAACTAAAGTTCGTGTACACTGTTCTTTTTGCACTGGGTGCTATGTATTTAGGATCCTGAACACCTATCAGTGGACTTCCTTCTACAGGTAGCAGCATAAGAACCATTTATAATGTTTATTAATAATACAGATTTCTGGGCTCTACCTCAGACCTACTTAAATAGAATCTCACAGAAATGGAGCTCAAGCATTTGCTTTTCTAACGAGTTTCCAAGAAGAGCAGCCAGTATGAAATTAGGAGACCCCACAGCAATCCTTACCCCCAGGGTTATCACTTTCCATTCTACCCTTCAGCCAGCTGCCAGCATGTCTGACTGTATCATTTGACTGCTTAAAATTCTTCCAATTTTCAGAATCTTGCCTGCTTATAGAATGAAATCCCAGTTGGTTGGCATGGCAAATAGTGCTTTCTTCCCTTATGTGTACCTTCTTTAGCAGGCTCTAAACTCCTAAGTAGCTAGCTGGCTCAGGGCCTACCATATGCGGAGTAGATGCACATGGATGTCTGTTAAAGGAATGAATGGTTGATTCCTGTACTCCTGTGAGAGTGAGCAAGGCCAGATCAAGATCAGACGTGGGGAGAGATAAAGTGTCTAGATATGCTTTCACCACTATCTTAGACAGCAATTTCAAAAGAGGTTCTTTGAAGTAAGATTCTCCAAGGAATACTCTGATGTCTAACATTCACTTGTACATGGCACTTCTCAGTTTGTGTTAAAAAACAAGTAACAACCACCAAGTAAACACCATAATATCATTATTTAATAGTCTGCCTTATATTTTTTTCAGTGTAGTTTCACATACGATTAACCTTAAGGTTTTCCTGTTTTTGTTATTTTGTTTCTCAGTACCAGGGGTATGAAACCAGTTCACTGTGTGTAAGAGCAAGTACTCTACCATGAAGCTACACCATCAGCCTTTTTAAATTTTTTTTATTTTTTGAGACAGGATCTTGTAAAGTTTCCCAGGATATCCCTGACCTTGTCATCTTCCTACCTCAGCTCAGTTCTTTCTTTTTCTTTTTTTGGATGGTGCTGAGGATCAAACCCAGGGTATCATGCATGCCAGTCAAGTGCTCTACCATTGAGCTACATATCCCTACCCTCTCACTTTTTAATGCGATAAATGTGAGGATAAAATAAAGATATCACTTCACCCCAGTAAGTATGGATAGTATCAGAAAGATCACAGACAGCAAGTACTGGGGATGTGGAAAATAGTGGGAATGTAAATTAATACAACATTATAAAAAAACATAATGAGTTTTTTGAGTACTGAGGAGCCTCAAAAAATTTAAAATAGGATTAACATATGATCCAGCAATCCCAGCAGATATAAAATCAGGATGATGAAATGATAGCTGAATTCCTATGTTTGTTGGGGCACTATTAATAATAGCCACAAAATGGAAACAACCTAAGCATCTCTCAGCTGGTAAGTAGATTGTCAAATGTGAATTTACATAATGGAATTCTATTCAGCCATAAAAAGAATGACATTCTGTCATTTGTAACAACATAGATGCAACTGGATTGGTTATGTTAAGTGAAATTATCTAGGCACAAAAAGACAAGTACCACATGATCTCCCCTCATCTGTAGGCTCTAGAACAGTTGATCTCATAGAAGCTGAGGATGGAGTGGAGGCTACCAGAGGTGAAGGAGAAGTGAGTGCGGGGGTGGGAAAGATTGATCAAGGGTACTTAATAATAGTCAGATAGGAGGAAGAGGCTCGCTGGGCTATTGCACAACATGGTGACTACCGATAAGGCCAGGGAGGTAGCTCAGCAGCATAGCGCCTGCCTGGCAAGTGCAAGGCTGAGAGTTTGATTCCTGGTACAAAAAAAAAACCCCTACAGTGACTACCAATAATAATAATGTATTGTGTCTTTGAAAAAGCTACATGAAATGACTTTGTCTTCACCATAAAAAAATGAAAAGTATTTATGGAGATAAACATGCTTACCCTTATTTAAACATAAGATGGTACCCCATTAATATGCATAATTTTTATAAACATACGTACATTACAAAAATCAGTATGTTAGCTACCTGGCTTATTTTTCAGGTAAGTCAAAAATGGAATTCTAGCCAGGTGTGGTAGCACATGCCTATAATCTCAGCACTCTGGAAGCTGAGGCAGGAGGGTCACTGCAAGTTTGAGACCAGCCTGGGCTGTACACAGTGAGTTTAAGAACAACCTGAATTACATAGTGAGACCCTGACTTTAAAAACCAAAAACCAAAACCAAACAAACAAAACAACAAATTCTAGGCTGGGGATGTAACTCAGTGGTACAGCATTGGCCCAGCATGCACTAAACCCAGCTATGAGCCAAGATAAAACTCCTACCCTGCAAATTAACTTTCATAGTGAATATTAGGCTTTAACATATTTAATATATTTTTATTATTTGTTCCTTAGTTACACAAATTTTTCTTCCTTAAAAAAAGAAGAATAGAGCCACACACAGTGGCACACACCTATAGTCTCAGCTACTAAGGAGGCTGACACAGGGGGAATACCTGAGCCTAGAAGTTCAAGAGCAGCCTAGGAAATATAGCAAGACAAAAACAGGGTGTGGAGTGAGACACAGATGTTTGGCAAAATAATTATTTTTCTATACTTTTTTACTATTTTATCTAACTAATATTATATATAAACATTCATTTATTATGAATACTTTATTTTTGAGACAGGGTCTTGCTAAGTAACTTCTCTCAAACTCATATTCTTTCTGCCTGCCTCCTGAGTAGCTGGGATACAGGCATTTGTCACTGCCCTCAGCTCAATTATGAATACTTTTTAAAGTTATAGGAAATGTTTAAGAAAGTGATTACTGGTTTTCTCACATAAAACATTTTTTAAAAACTGAGAAGAATTTCAAATATAAAGACAGTATTTTTTTTTTCCTTTCATTTTTTGTTTTTTTTTTTAGACAGGGTCTCAGGCTGGCCTTGAAGTCACTATGTAGCTGAGGCTGGCCTCAGACTCAGGGTGATCCTCCTGCTTCAGCCACCTGAGTGCTGAGATTACAGGTGTTGTCCCATATGCCGGGCTAAACACAGTATCTTTAAAGTTATAAAAATCTTTCAGAAGAAAATAATGATACTCAAGTACTAGCAGGGTTTCTTTATAATCATATTCTGGTTTTATAATTTATACAAATGTTTTCTTCCCTGCTAGGAAGCACGGGCCCATAGCTCTTAAAGCTTCTGCAAGTCGTTCTCACCTAGGGTTCATTTTGGCTCTTGGGGACAAGTGGCAATGAGGGGAAATATTTTTGATTGTTACAACCCAGGGAAGTTCTACGGCAGTGAGTGACGAAAGAACAGGGATGCTGCTAAGTACCCTAAGTGTATGGGACAGTGTCCCATGACAAGGAAATACCCACTATGGTGAAGTGGTTCAGTGGTAGCATGCTTCCCTAGTATGTGCAAGATTCTGGATTTGCTGCCCTGCACTGCTCCCCAAAATATATTATCTGGCCCACATGCTGATAAGACCGAGTTTCACAAGCTCTAGCTGATATAAATCAAACTTTGCATAGTTTCAAAAGACAAGTGTCTAAAATTACATAACATTACAAATCTAACAACCCAGGTACAAACAGCAAAACTGAGAATAAAGATACAGTACCTTTTCGCACTGCAGAGTTACCATTTCAGATCTGGGGAAATCCCGCTCTATGTTTTCTGCAATGTTCTGCACTGCCAACAGCTGCTCGTCGATCCTCTGAAGCTCAGCAGTGAGAAGCTGCAGTCGGCGAGCCGTGGGGCTTGGTGCCAGGCGAGCTGCAGGCACATCCTGCAGCAGGGTCCTCAGCAGACAGTCTTCTGCAAAGTCGGACTCTGTGCTCTGTCGTTTGAATTGGAACCCTTGTTTAGGCAGATCTAAATATTAATAAAAAGCAAAATCAGAATTTATTATAACTAAGGAAGAGGCTGACATAGGAGATATCATTTTTGATGACCTAAATGAAGCCAATTATCACATTACTTTCCAAACCAGTTTTAATCTACTATTTTTGCAAATTCTTCTCTGTTTTAGCTTCTAGACCTCTGCACTTTGTTCTTGTTGTCAAGGGTCCTTTCAGATAAGCACCCTTACCCTTAATCACATCAGCACCACAAAGCTTTACATCCAAGGCGGTTTGGTTCCTTCATATCCTATTATGAGCATATTTTATCACAAAGCAATTTTATTATTTATGACTTTATGAAGTTCTAATTGAAAACCAACACAACCACACCTAAAAACTGGGTCCAGTGTTGGCTATTAGCAACTTATGTGGGGTCTCAGGCAAACATTAAACGTCCAAAGGCCACTATCAAAGCCAAGGACTCTTCCTACTCTTATTCTCAGTGGATTCCTGTACTGAATTTGAGATATGCTCTTTCCTCAGTGTACTCTTCTGCAGTTTGCCTGCTCAGATAACCCCTCTATCCTTCCTCCCTTTGCCCAGCAGTATTTTCTGAGTGACAGCCCCAGCTCACACCTCTGCTCACTCTTCCCACAACCCTCAGTGATGTCACTGATGCACGGACAATGCCCACAGCCATGGTGCACTCCTGAGTGCCAGCTGCTCATGAGCTAGGCATCTAATTGGGTTGTCCCATGAGAATACCAAACTAAACTTCTCATTTCTCTGATTTGTTTCCTCTCTCATGTTCCTCAGTAAAGAGCAATACCATTCACTCTAATTCCTAAGCCAAAGGCCTGGATCAGTCAAGATGCCCCTCTTTCCTTCAGGTCCAAAGTGATACCAAGTATTGATGATTTGGCCTCCTGAATACCTCCATTCCTACCACCATTACTTAACTTGAATTTTAACAACAGATGGAAGACCAGGAGTGACGGCACATACCTGTAATCCTAGCACTTAGGAGGCTGAGGCAGGGAGATCGCCATAAATTCGAGGCCAGCTAGAGCTACTTAGTGAATTCAAGGTCAGCCTGACCTAAGAGCGAGACCCTCTCTGTCAGTCTCTCAACCAATCACCTACCCACCCACCCACCAAAAAAAAAAAAAAATAAATGGACAGCAAACAGTACCCCATTTATCTAATATATAATCCATCTTCCACATAGGCCTTTGAAGAACATTTTTTTTCTCCCAATACTGAGTATTGAACCCAGGGATCAGTAGAGTAGAGCACCAGCCCTTTTTTATTTTGAGACAGGATGTAAGTTGTTTAGGCTGGCCTTCAGTGTGTTATCTTCCTACTTCAGCAAACTGAGTAGCTGGGATTATAAGTGGGCATCATCATGCCCAGCTAGAAACAGCTCTTAAAATCATAATCATAAAATTACTCTTTCTCTAAAACCTTTTGATGTATCACCAATGCCTTCATCTTAAAAGTCTAACTGCCTTAATGTGATACAGAATGGTACACATCATCTTTGCTCTCCGAAGGTTTCATCAAACTTCTGTGTCACTGTATAATCAATTCTCAGTCTAAATGGCTCCCTCTCTATAAACCCTACATTCCTTTATGATTCCTCTAAATGGCCTCAAACCTCTCCTGACATAGATGAGATGCTGCTGTACCTACGAATCTCAGCTATACTGCCACGGTATACTGCCATTGTAGCGCTTACCACTGTATCACAACCACCCTTTATTTTATTTTTAAGACAGGATCTTGCTTCACAGTGTCGCCTAGGCTGACCTTGAACTATTGAGATCCTCCTGTCTCAGCCTCCCAAGTGCTGGGATTACAGGCGTGTGGAACCACGCCTGGCTTCACCCCTTTATCTGTCTTCTTCCCCCGACAAGCATGCCCACAGGCTGACAGCTGACACGCCTCTCTTCTGTAACCCAGTATCTGCTAACTCAGTGTTCACAGACTGAAGAGAAGGTCCAAGGAGGACTGTGATGCTTATTGTTCCTAACTTACAGAACTTTTGTGAAGACCACATTATGTGACAACTTGCTCTGAAAAATGTGAATTACTAAACAAATAAAAACTTCACCTGTTGCCTTTCAGCCCCAGTTTAAGATGAGCCTCCCCATGAGAAAACAGTGATAATGCTAGCCATGGAGATTTTCTATGTAATCTTCCTCTACCTACTTTAAACTTGGCTCTCATAGTACCTTACCATCTACCCTTCCTGTTTCTCAGCAGCCTGAACTGTCTCCCTTAATCACAGCAAAGATTTTGTTTGCAAACCATTTCTCAGGTTTTCCTTGCATTTACCAAGTTTTAGCACCTATTTCTAACATGATAGGAATGCAGGGAGGGAGTATGTCATGGCACACATCCTGCTGTTCACCTTTGTCCTGCTGTCTGTCTGCTGGTGCTGCTGAGGGAATCCCAGGCTCCTTCACTTCTTCAACACCTGTTCTCCAGCTTTTTCCTTCCAGGGAGGCTGCAGCCACTTTTGCAGGTTTAAAAAAGTCCACAGTAGAATTGGTAGATTCTATCAATAAGAAAGATATACAAAGATTGACACCCAACTTCTAAATAAGGTAATTAACAGTTTTAAAGAGCATTTCTGAATGTGAACATCAACATCCAAAAGTGCAGTGAGTTCACAGGAGAGCTAAAAGATTTGAGTAGAGATAACAATGCTATACTAAACACTTTTTCAAAATGTATTTTACTTAAAAAGTAGCAAGAAATTACCTTCACTCTTAAAATTGTGTGAAAAAACTGCATTAGTGACCGACGCTGCCATATGATGCAGCTCCGCAGATGACGGGGCATCTAGGTGACTGCTCTGCTGCTTTGTAACGCCCTCATTTGCCTGCTCTTCTCCGACAGGCAGTTCCTGCAGGTCACCAGCTTCAATGTCCACCACGTTTATGTAAGTGTGTCCCACCTGAGTTAAAACACATCACAATCGTAATGTTTACTTTAGATGGCCACTCCGCCAAAAGAGTTTTAATTCTTTATTTTATTAGTAATAAGCAAGAATAGCTTTTATGCACCTAACTTAGAGAAAGCTGCAAGAAATATGTATTACTGGTTAGTTTATAATATTTTGGGGCATAATAAATTAATTTTTTACCTTACCTATAAAAGTACACACATGATATTTTAATATCATTTAAAATCACATGAGATTTTAATATCATTTCACCCAGACAACCTATATAGTTGAATATCACACCTGGGTGACCATAATATATTTTAGCAAAAAGTTATTATTCAGACTTCTGAATACACAAACCACATTTGGTCCCGTTTGAGGTGCTGAAGGTGACAAAGGTTTCTCTGGAATTTCAGTGGAAACTTTGATATTTAGATATACATCTGGTACCAACAGCTGAGGATCATTCAAAGGCTCATGCTCTGAAAATTAAGAAGAAAAATCAGCATTGTAGCCTGCCTGGCAAGTGTAAGGTTCTAAGTTCAAGTCCTGGTACCAAAAACAACAACAGGAATGTAACAAATATCCATAAATAGCTCTAAATCATTAATTCTATAAGAACAAGTTAGCAATAAACATAAAATGCATATTGCTTGAAATTCTAAGTGGAAGCTTCATGGGTATAAATAAAGCCAAGTTTTTTTTTTCTATTTTAAGGGGAATTTACTCTAGAGTCATAATTAAATGAAGACTAAGTATTTTATTTCTTATATGAATGATTTGCAAGAAAGATAATGTATTAAAATTATGTCGAAGGCCAAGTGTGGTGGTGCATGTCTGTAATCACAGCTGGGAGGCTGAGGCTGAGGCAGGAGGATCACGGTGAATGTGAGGCCAGCCTGGGCTACATAAGCAACTTCAAGGCTAGCCTGCACTACATAGTGGACCCTGTCTCAAAAGAAAATAAATTATGTCGAGAAAACGCTGTAATTTCCTATTTTCATTTCAGATATATTGTCATGTTTATTTTATTTTAAAGATTTTCACTTAGCTTAGACTTTAGGAAATAAACCTACAAATACATTTTTAAAACTTTCAACAGTTGTCATTTTTTTTTTTGTTGTTTAATCGAGAGCTGTAAGTCATATTCTTTAAATGGGTACTGTTCAGTAGCTTTTAGCATAGTGACAGCCCATAGCTAAATTTCACCACTTAAAGTGTCTTAACATCTAAATTTCACAAACCCTATTTTCTTATTATTCCAAATAAAACTGAGGGCTGCCAGTATGTAGGTCAGCAGACAGTGTAATTTTGTTCCTTTTGTTCCAGGCCTTTAATCTTATTTTCTAGTATTTCAATTTCAGTAAAGCATTATTTTCAAATTTCATGTGTAAACTGTAACTCATTATCATACTGAGTATGGCAAACTCAATTGTAACAACTCAATAGTTGTTCTACCAAGGCTTGAATTAAAATTATAGGTTAATCAAAAAACTAGGAAAAAAAAACCCTGAAAATATTTGTCATTCATCTCTACTATGTCAGATGAATGGTATAGCTGCCTTTTTTGGTTTTTATTTGAACTGGGGTTTGTACTCCAGCTTTGGTGTTATGCAGATTTAACTTTTAATAAGTCAAACTGTTGTCAAGAGAAAAAAAGGAACTCACCTGAGACCGAAGAAATGATTTGTTGATTTTTACCACTTTCAGAGATAACTTCTTGAGAAGCAGCTTTGTTATCTTGTAGTAAATTGGAAAATTTGAAGAAAAAAAAAAAAAGAATTTCACAAACACAGGAAAAAATATATGAATGCACATAGACATTATGTATGAAAGGTGGTAGGAAAGCAGATTGACAGCTTAACATTTAATTTTTACATAATGAATATAATTCCAGATGTCACAGGTATTCACCTGGATAAATCTTAGTAAACACTGCCAGCTTCAGAAGACTTACACAGCAGCAAGACAAAAGGCCTACAGGGCTCTCTCCAAGACATTCTCAGGTAAGAACATTGAAAGAGTGTTTCTCAAATAAATATCATTTACATAAAAAATCTTTTATTACATATGTTCAAACTTGTACAAGAAAAACTCCCCACCAAATAATGTCTTTTAAAAAATTATTGGGTGGGCAAGGTAAAAAAAGTTAGCTAACTTATAATAATGACCCAAAAAGGTCCTTATGCAGGAAGATACTTGCTGAACCATTACTTATATTGCAGAAAAAAACAGAAACTGTCTAGTGAAGTCAATAATAAGAAATTGGTTAAATATTTTATGGCATAGCTAGAAAAAGTAATACGTTTATGAAATACTTTTTTAATGACACAAGGAAATGAGTAGAAATCAAAGTGAGACAAAAAGGATGTAAAATACCTTTTGGAGATACCCCCTGTTCTCCAAATCTTACCTAGTCCTGAAAATATGCTGGGGTGGGTGGGTGAATACCAGGAAACTTTAGTGCATTATTTCAAAGAAGGAAAAATGGTACCCACTCATCCAGTTTTCCAAACATCAAGTAACTCTTAAACGCCCTAGTAACAATGCATCAAGGATTCTTATACATTATAAAGCCTTTTAAATATCGCTTCCTAATTAACATTCCTTTTATTCATTAGTATGCAGGCACTACGCAATAATATTGAACACAGACATGAATTATCCTCAATATTTCAGCAAACATGTACTGTGATGCAGATATAATACAATGAAATGAGTATCTCAAGATATGTGGCAAAAAATAACACTGGGACTCATGAAAATAAACTTTTAGGGAAAGGCTAGGGGAAGACTAGATATCTAGATGATAAGAATTCAGACAGTCTGAGAAGACACCTCTCTTTTATATTACTTTACCTAACTATATAAAATACACTAACAACTGAAAGACAAAACAATCTTAAAATGTTATGCTAAGTGGTATGATTGTGGTTAATTTTCATCTTTGCAATAGCTTGCTATGTTATCTAAAATGACTAAAGTAATCATTTACTTTAAAAATGTCAATAAATATTTTATAAGTAATACAAAATTAGAGGGGGTTTACATGGCAGATCCTCCTGCCTCTGCCTCCCAAGTGTTGGAATTACAGGCATGTGCCACCACATTTGGGTATGATTAGCGACATTAATGAGGATGTTTGTCCAGCAATAATAGCAGATACTCCAATACTTGTTTCCTCTACTCTTACACGCAGGTAACAACCCTCCCACACTAACCCCAATCCACTCTTCTTTGGAGCTCAACTTTATAACCCCAGCCCCTCAGCCTTAGACACACAGATCCACCTGAAGGCAACTAGTGGCCCAGAGAATCCAATGGAAAACATTATATTTACTGACTTGGGATATAATCCATGTCAATTCTGAACGAACATTTCTATTATGTTTTACTTAAATTATCAAAACTTGAAAATCTAATTTCTCCTGGTTTTGGAAATATCACTAATATCATGTTATTTAAAGTTCTCTCTAAATCACTGCCTTAAAGAAAAGTCTAGATACCTTACATATGTCAAATTTGGGAATGAAAAAAAAAATAGTATTGTACCTGGCTCTGTATTAGTACTTGCATCCTGACTTCCTATGGCTTTCTTTTGTACAGAGGCAATCAAATGCAATCCAGCTGAAGTACTGACATCATTGTGCAGCATTTCTTAAATATAATAAGACATTACAAGCAATCACTGAGCAGCCAACATAATACTGAGAAGCACAGTACTCAAGAGAGGTAAAGGGTTAGAATATTACCAAAGTGTTCTGCAGGAGGCGGTTTACCAACTCAATCTCAAAAAGACACAGTGGAATGAAAACCAAAACTGTGGAGGACTCTGTTTAGCCTAAAAGCTAGACATTGTCTTGGTTCATGAAGATCCAGTAGAAGGTGCTAAAAAGGAGTGACATGGTCAGACTGCTGTTCTACAAAAACCATGCAACCCATTTGTGGAAAACCGATCTGAGTGGATATAACTGAAGTAAGGCAATCCGTCAGATGAGGCTGCTGAAGTACTTCAAGTAGTTTGAGGATAAATTTAGGAATTATAAATGAGGTGAAAGAGACAAGAATTGGGTATTGACTAGATGAGAGGGAAAGGGGAAAGGTGGAATTCAGAATACTGGCTTTTTTGGTTAGGCTGGTATTAACACAAATAGAGATAGAAACCACAGGAAAGAAATCAATTTGGGGATGGGCTCAATGAATTTAGACTTCAGATCCTGAACTCAAGGTAATTTTTACCACAGCAGAAAAGTTCAGCAGGAAGTACAAAGTCCAAAGTATATTATGGCAGTTTGGGTTTTTTTACATTTGGGTTTTCCTTGGAGATGACTGGAGAGATTAGGTAGATAACAATATCATAAACTGTGGGATAACAAAAAACATATTTGTCTTCATCCTTAGTATCGGGCACAGCGTTTCTTGCACCCTTAGAGTCTCAGGAGTGAGAGCACTGTCTTTTGTTGTTCATAACGAGCTCCTCGTCATCGTACCTGTGTTCATGCTAACGAAGTAACCCTTGGCAGGTTCTTGGATAGCTTCAGGATGGGACTGGGAGCCAGGAGTACCAAACACTTGCTTAGAGGATTAGAGCTATCAGTCCCTTACCCACTTACCCTTGGCTGAAAATTAAGTTCAATCATAATGACCAACGATATAATCAACCCTATGTACTAGAATTTTAATAAAAATTCTGAAACAAACAGCTAAGGGGGCTTCCAGGTTGGTAGGCACAGGGACATGCTCACCTAGAGAAGGGATAAGAACTTCTAAGAGGCTATTCCTGAATTGTATCCTTTACTTAAAAAACACTGTAAATGTAAGTAAAACACTTTCCCAAGTCCTGTGAACTGTTCATGAATTAATGAATGGGGTGTGTGTCGAGGTGGCCAAAGGAATCCTTGAATCTGTCATCAGCCAGGCTGCAACATGGGTATCCTGGGGACCCTGTACCTTGTTCCTGAGTAAAGCAGTCTTACAGACAGAGCTGCTTCATCTGTGCGGTCTGTGCTAACTCCAAATAGTAAGTGTCAGAACTGAACTGCAGAACACTAGCTGGTATCAGAGAGTGTTGTTTGGTATGACACAACAGACATCCACCAGATTAACACTATAAGAATAGCAACACAGGAATATATTTACTGTAATAGTATGTAAAAACAAGTACGTTACAAACAAACATAGAAGTGTATGTATTTGTAGGTATATATGTATAAAGTTTATAAAACAAACCCTGAAGAAACTTAACACTGGTTATTTTGAGATAGAAAGATGATGGTAAATTTTAATATTACTCTTGATCCCTGCTTGTATTTTCCAACTTTTCTCCAATAAGCATGTATTACCTTAACAATGTGAAAAAAAATCTTATTAAGAGTGAAAAAGCAAGTGGTTTTAAGATGAGTGAGAAAGCAGTGTGGATTAGAAAGTGAAAGACTGAAGCTAAGCAGGTCAGTGGCCTTGAGAATGGAAGGGAGGACCTGGACAGGGACATAGTGAATTCAGGGGAATGGAGATGAGAAATAAATCAAGGGTGGCTTGGAAGGTAAAAATCTAGACCAATTAATTCAGTGGTGACACTACTACCAGCAGGATGGTAACTTAAAAAGTGGACATATTAATTAATTTAAGGAAAAAGAAATAAAAATGAATGACTACACATGTATTTGTATACTATGAAAATATTTAAGAGCTAAGGCCATGAGCACAACTGTTCTGACAAGCACAGGAGCAGGTAAACTGGGGAGGTGTTACTGAAGAGTAACACTTAGCGAATATATAAATTCAAGGAACAAGAAATAAATTGACTAGTTGAAGCAAAAATATAATTTACCATCTATAAATTATTCCTTTATTGTAATGTATATACATTTCCTATGATTAACTGAATTCTAGGCATATTCTTTCCTAATCTCCTTTTAAATCTCTTATATCTTACTTGAGGTTCTATTTTATTAGACTGTTCTAATGCCTGGGTCAGCAAATGTTTTCTATAAAGGGTCAGATAGTAAGTATTTTAGGATTTGTGGGCCTTCTGGTCTGTATTAGTCAGCTTTCCCCTTGCTGGAAAAAAAATATACTGGACAAACACATCTTAAAGGAGAGGTTTAATTTGGTTCATACTTTCAGCCCATGATTGGCTGGCTCCAAGGCAGAAACATTGTGAGAGAAGGGCATAGCAAAGCAAAGCTGCTCAGTTCATAAAGGCACAGCAGGGAAAAAGCACCAGAAAGAAGTGAGTACCGAAGGTCATGCCTCCACAACCTACCCAAATATACCCACAAATGTGTTTTACTAATTCCCCAGGCAGCTCCCAAGCCAAACAAGTTGACTTAAAATTAAGCTTAACTGTTACATGGTTTCTGTTGCAAGTACCCTACGTGATGCAGTATAAAAGCAGTGACATTATATGACAGATAGCTATGTTTTGATACAACTGTACTTACATAAACAAGCATAGTATAGATCTGACCCTTGGGCCATACTATCAACGACTGACATATTGGATAAAATATCAAAACAAACACACACCACCCTCCATCTTATCAAAAATAACATGAAAAAGTTGTCTATTTCTAGAACACTGATACTAACTCAAAATTTAGAACATTAATTATGTATATACTTACCAAAAGGAATGTCAAAATTATCCAAAGGCTGAGAATCACGATGTTCTTGTTCCTAAATGAATTTCCAAATAACCAATCTATGATTAACTCCAAGACATTTATTATTTTGGAAAAAAATATGCAATTGCTATCAAGATTGTTAGATTCATAGATACAGGTTCAAATCTTATTCTAGGCAAATTTTCTTATGCTATGAAGTTATTTTGCTTTGTCAAAGTAATGTGAAATTCACAAGTCAAAAAATAAAAAAGAGCATTCCAATTTAATGCACAGTTACTAAGGTGCCACAAGCCACTTTCCACTGCATGGTAGCTTTGAAACTCAAATGTTCCCTTACCCTATCAAAACTTTCATGGACTTAACATTTTAAGTGTCTCCAGACATGCTTTTGAGGACTTTAAAAGGGTGCTTTTTAAAAATCCACATAAGATAAAATTAAGACTGTTTACTTAATCTATTGTCAACCAAACAGCTAAGCAGACAGTCCCCAAATTTAGAAGAAGCATATAAAAACACTTGACTCATACATTACATAAATCTGTGAAAATCCTATAAGTATCTCAAAGATAGGTGAAACTATACTGGAAGAAGCCTAAATCACATACCATACATGCATTAAGCTATCAAAAAAAAAAGCCAGTGGTGACTTCAGACTTCAAACATTAAAAAATTCACACAATCTAAGCTGTCTCAGATTGATCTGATTTGCCATTGGAATGTTTTTCACATTTGCCACTCTGTGTGTGCAGTTCTGTGGATGGAGGACGCAAGGCTCTGTACAGAATACTGAACATTAGGGACGAATCTACGAATCTATGCGAGTTGTTCTATACCTTGGGTTTTATGACAGTTTCTGAGTCCTCACTATTAATGAGAGATTCTTCTGGCTGGAAAGTCACACTTGGTTTTCTCCGCAGTTTCTCAGATCTTTTTTCCTGTAGTTCTTTCTCAGCTCGTCTTCTTTCCCTGTTAAAAATAATAGTATAGGGCTGGGGATTTAGCTCAGCGGCAAAAGCGCCTGCCTGGCAAGCGCAAGGTCGTGAGTTCGGTTCCCGGTACCGGAGAAAAACCAAAAAAAAAAAAAAAGTATAAAACATATTTCTATTATCTGTGTATTAATTTTTCTCATTTGTATTGTGTTATACGAAATGAAGGCAGTTATCAAAATTATGCTAATTATTTCTAATACGATTTAATTAAACTAGATATTCTGATAGAATACAAATAAATATAAACAAAAAGTCAAAGAAATGAAGCCAAGTGTGAGTGACATTCCTGTAATTCAAGTACTTGGGAGGTTGAGGCAGGAGGATTGCATGTCTGAGGCCAGCATAGGCAATACAGCATATCCTGTCTCAAAACAGAAAGACAAAGAAAGAAAGGTCAAAGCCATGAAATTTATTTCTAATTCCTCTACAAGTGAACTGACTTTTCTATGTTGGCCACTGGAATTTTATGACAGGAATGTAAGTAATTTTCAAATTCTCTTTTCTGCAGATTTGAAGCTGGTGCAAAAAATCCTAATATCACCTCCACTTGTCTATTTGAAGACAGTTAAGCATACTTACATCAGTGAAATCTCAACAAAGAGGAAAGAGGTACCAAAAAGGTAAAGGAAAGACATAGAGGAAATACCTGAAAAGGATGGAAGGAAGTAACCATTTCTGGAAAGAATACTAATAACAGATTTTACAGTCTGATCAACATAAAATATTTTCTAGACTCAGTAATAATCCACCAATCGGTATGTGTCTTGACCTCTATTATGGTTAAAACACTGTAATCAGTGCTCTCTAGTACAAGTCACAGCTTTGCTTTTTGCAAGCACATTGCCCAGTGCCCCCAATTTATATCATCATCTATCCTGTTTATTATACAGAGTCTGGAAAAAAGATAAAAAGGAATATTGGCTCAAAGTGTTGGACAGTACATAGAGTACTGCCTGATACCAAATATTCGTGCTGTAAAAGATGGCTGCTTATGCTACCACAGAAACACGGAAAAGAATCTTCTAGCCTATGAATGATAGCAAACAACTCATTATTAAAGTACAAAAGAAGTATTTCTCACAATATAGGAATTTTCCCCCTTACTAGACATTTTCAAAAACATGACGTTCAACAAAGAAAAATATGCCATTGTGTATTTAAACTAGGAGGTTAAGTCACATGACTCCCATTTTTATGACTGTAAATAATGCACTTCCTGATACATGATATTATCAAATAAAGCCTTTTTTCGAACTTGCCTTTTTTTATTGTTCTTTCCTTGTCTTCTTTCAGATGGTTCCATTTTGACCCTTAGAAGCTGAAGGTGACCAGAATCACCTTGTTCAAACAAATTATGTGTAAATTTTTGTTGGCTTTGTTTAAATGCAATGAGATTTTCAAGTGGAATAAGCTGTGGTTCCTTGTACTACAGGAAAGAAACAAAGCACAAAATTAGAAATTTTCAAACTCAAATATCCATTATATCAAAAATTTAAGAAAAATGTCTGTTTAAATTAAACTGAGAACAAGTCAAACATTAATTGGGACTGGCAGGGCTGGGGATTTAGCTCAGTGGCACAGCGCCTGCCTGGCAAGCGCAAGGTCGTGACTTTGATTCCTGGTACTGGAAGAAAAACAAACAAAAAAAACCCAAACAAATTAATTGGGACTGGTAAAATAAGTATACATATGGTAAAGAGCTAAATATTCTAGAGTGGTGAAAGTTTTAACTAGGTGATATTTTGTTTCGTTTTGTGTTGTGTTGTCTTGTTTGTTTTGGGAGCTGGGGAGCAAACCCGGGGCCTTGCAAACCGTGGGTAAGCTTGTTACTACTGAGCTACATCAACTGGGTTCTCAATTGGGTTACCTTGTTTCAGAAATTAAACTATCAGTCCTTATCTATTAAATTTCATTTCAACATTAAAAACTTCCTTCTTACAATTATAGACAAAACCATAAACAAAATTATATAATGTTTGCTTAAACGTTTAAAGTTATTTGAAACAAGGAGAATGCAGTGGTATAAAGGCTATGGATGAAACAGATCTGCAATATTTTGATAACCCCTAAGTAGGGTGATGAGAATTTGGGGGTTCATTATACTATTTTCTCTAATAAATTTTTTAAAAAATAATTCTTAAGGTCCAGAATAGCAAAAGCAAATCTGAGCAACAAGGGAAAGGCAGAGGGCAATACAATCCCCAGCTTGAGGTTATACTGGGAAGTTACTACGGTAAGAACAGCATAGTATTGACAAAAAATGGACCTCATGATGAATGGAACCTAACTGAAGATATAGAAACAACTCCAAGTACACTCAGCTATCCTATCTTTGACAAAGGGGTTAAACACTTTCCATAGAAGAAAGACAGCCTCTTTAATAAGTGGTGTTGGGAAGACTGGCTTTCCACATTCCAAAAATTAAACCCAGACCTGTAACTCTCACCACACACTAAACTAAAATTGAAATGCATCAAAGATCTAAATATTAAAATAGAAATAATCTGCTGGATGACAGAATAGGCAAACTCTGAAAGACACAGGTGTAGGCAAAGAATTTATAAACAAAATCCCACTGCATAGAAAATATCACAAAGAATCAACAACTCGGATCTCATTATATTGAAAAGCTTTTGTACAGTAAAAAAAAAAAAAAATCACTAACAGAATAAAGAGGTAACTCTCAGAGTGAGAAAAAGATTTTACCTACTCCTTTTCAGACAAAGGACTAATATCTGGACATATAAAGAACTCAAAAAAAAAAAAAAATCAGACACCCCAAATTCAAATATCCAATCCAAAAATGGGCATCTGAAATGACAGATACTTCTCAGATAAAGAAGTACAAACAGTAAATAAATACATAAAAAACTCGAGCTGGGCATGGTTGCACACACCTGTAATCCCAGCACTTGGCAGGCTGAGGCAGGAGGATCACTGCAAGTTCGAGACCAGCCTGGGCTACAAAGGGAGCTCAAGGCCAGCCTGAACTACATAGTGAGACTCTGTCTCAAAAGGACAAAAAAATCTCCAAAACCCAAAAAAACAAAAAACGCATCAACATTACTGGTCAATCAAGAGACGCAAATTAGAACAACAATGATATTCCATCTCACTGAAGAAAGGATAGCCATCACGAAGAAATCAACCAATAACAAATGCTGGTGAGGCTGTTGGGAAAAAGGAATGCTTCTTCATTGTTGGTGGGAGTGTAAACTGGTACAACCACTGTGAAAATCAGTGTAGAGATTCCTCAAAAAAACTAAACCTAAGGCCAAGGAGATAGCTCAGCAGCGAAAGCGCCTGCCAAGCGCAAGGTCCTGAGTTTGATCCCCAGCACCAAACAAAAACAAAAACAAAAACAAGCCCAAAAAAGTAAACCTAGAGGTTGCATTTGACCCAGCCATTGCCCCTGTAGGCATCCTCCTGAAAGTTAAAGGTATCATACCATTGCTTCTCGGCCTTTGGGCTAAGATCAAGTGTAAAAGCATCATACCACAGTGAGATATATATATCATATCTCCGTATTTATATATATAAATATATATCCATATTTATAGGATCACAATTTATACTAGCTAAATCTTGGAAACAGCCCACATATCCACCAACAGATGAATGGATAAAGAAAATTAGGTATTTTTATCTAATGGAGTACTATTCTGCCATAAAGAAGGATAAACTTGGGCTGGGGATTTAGCTCAGCGGCAAAGCGCCTGCCTGGCAAGCACAAGGTCGTGAGTTCGGTTCCCGGTACCGCGGAGAAAAACCAAAAAAAGCGTTAAAAAAAAAAAAAAAAAATCAAAGAAGGATAAACTTGAGTCATTTGTAGGTAAATGGGTGCACCTCCAGACCACAATTTTGCATGAAGTAAATAAGACACACAAGTTTTTTTTGTTTTGTTTTGTTTTTTCTTTTTCTGGTACCGGGAATCGAACTCACGACCTTGCACTTGCCAGGCAGGCGCTGTGCCACTGAGCTAAATACCCGGCCCCCAAGACACACAAGTTTAAATATCACATTGTTTCTCTTCTGTGAGGAACCCTAAGGGTAAATAAGGAGCAAAGTAGATTCTGGAAAGTAGGAAGAACATCTTCAAATAGAGAACAATAAAGTCGGGACAGGAAAGGGAAGGAAAGAAAAAGGATTAAAAGAACGCAGTGAAAAAATGGAAATAAAATTCTGAAAATGGGGAGGGAAAAAGGGTTAAAGGGAGGAGAGAGGAATGGGAAAAAAGAATTAAGATACAATAGGTACAAATTCCCTATGATGAATGTGAACACTATGTATAGCAAGTATCTACTTATAAAAAATTAAAAAATAAAAGCAATTCTAAAAGTGCTGACTTTTCCTTGTGCTCAAAATAAGTTCAGAAGTAAAGAAGACATGGTAAGTACTTTTTCTCAGGAATAACCTTTTTTTTTTCCCCAGTAGCACCTTCAAATCTTAAAGTGCACTGGAGAATGAATTATCAGTTCCTCCTTAAAATGGCACCACTCACCTACAAAATCAGAACATAAACAATATGAATTTTGTAATTCAAAGATAATATATTTAAAGAGGATTTAATGGGTTTATAAAGCTACTATTTTATTGCATGTACAACTACTGACAGACTGGGTCCATTTAACAACGTAAACCAGAAACAGATTTGAAGACAATTATATTTCAATTGCTAGGAACCTCAAACAATATGTGTACTTGTTTACTCTGTCTACAAACACATACACACACACAAAGCACAGCACTCAATTTTTTTTACTTATTTCTTTTCTGAGCAGAATATCTGAGAAAAGAGTTAAATAAATTCTGGTATAAGCTATAAAGACTTATCGCCAAAAATCTTCTAAAAACAAAATCATTACTTTAAACCTGAATTTTATGCTATTTTCTACAACATAAGCATTTTTTTAAAAAAAATGTGCAATTAGAGCTTTCAGTGAATATACACTGTTTATGGTATGAAAAATCCAAGACCCTGGTTTTAAATCACTGTACAAAAATTCATTACCATATTTTCTGAGGATAAATGAGGAAAAAGTAATAGTTGTGGGTATTTTCTTTCTTCTGCTACAGTTCTCACAGGTGTTGAAGGAACTGTAACTGACGCTCTTGAGACTGATGAAAATATGTAAGGATGTTTAAATTGCAGGTGCAATAATGGAAGTCCACAGAAATTCTGAGGTGGTATCTCAAGGGGCTGTACGTTAATATCCAATTGTTTATCTGGTTTTATGAATATTGAAGAGTCCTGTTGAGAAGTCAAGTTTTCTTGTCCAACATACTGATCCATGTTGACGTGCTTAGGGATATCTGTAATCACAGTTTCTGCCCATTTCTTCTGGTCAGCTGCTTCTTTTATGACATTAGTATTGCAGTGGCTTGAATTCGAATGGGATCCTGAGATAGTGTGTGTTATTCTCTGTTGTGGAGGAGGCTGGAGGGAACCAGTTAATGCCCAAGCCTCTCTCAATTGGGTCAGAGGTCTGGAGGGAATACTTGGAATGCTTCCTACATGTAAAGGAAGGGGCTTGAATTCATGCTTAGGCTGAAACTGAAGCAAAGGAAAACCATAACCAGGACTAAGTGTTTTGGCTGGTGGGATAAGTCTAGGCATCTTCAGGGCAGCAGAAGGGGTAGACAAAAGATGGGGGTGACTATTTCCAGCAGGAGGTGGAGGAAACAAAGTGGATGCTAAGCTTTCAGATGCTGGGGTCGGTCCTCTCTTCTGGGGTTGGCTGTCTAACTGACATGAAGGAATATTCTCGTGTGGACAATTCTGGAAAAGTAAAAAAGGCTAAGTTTAGAATAAATTCCTTTTTGTAAAAACATTTAATATGTTTTGAAGGAAATGAAATGTTAAAGTATTTATTTACTCAACAAAAACACAATTCAACTACCAGGAAATGGCATTTTTATATGCATTACCTGTACATTTCCATTATTATTTTGATCAGACTGGATGATTCCTTCATGGCTATGTGGGATGTTCTTGGCAGGCTCCTGGGCACCCTCTCTCATGGATTGTGGTTTAATGAAAAATCTCTCCTTAAGATTTCTACTGCTGTTGATTTCAACATCACCACTCCCTCTTGTGCAGTTTGATACTTGGCTTCCCCCCAGATACAAAGACTGAGCCTGCTGGAGAAGGTGGGGTGTGTCTGAGAGGTTCGTAAAGGATGATCCTACTATTTGCATGAGGCTCAGGAAGTTTATCTGCTGCAGCTGAAATAGAATAAAATGAAATACCTTAAAACACAATGAAAAGAATCTAAGGAACCAAAAACTACCACCTTAATGTTCTACAGAAGTCACAACTTTCTGTCAGACTTGGGAATACTGAGCAGGAAGCAGAGACAAGAGGGATTTAAAGAAAAAAAAAAAAAGCACAGCTTCCTATCAACTGGGAACATGAACTTGTGGATGACACTTGGGACTGGGCAGAAACCAGTTTACATAAATTACCCAAGGAACCAAAACTGATGGTGCACACCTATAATTGGAGCTATGCGAGAGTGAGGCAGGAGAATCACAAGTTCAAGGCCAACATGGGCAACTTAGTGAGATCCTGACTCAAATTAAAAATTCTAAAAAGGATGGGAGTGTAGCTCAGTGGTACAGCACTTGGCTAGCACTGGGACACCCTGTGTTCAATGTCTAGTACCAAAAGTAAATAAATATCCTACAGTTTATGAAGCAGTAGAATGTGATGGACTAGGGTGAGGGTAACTGAAGTTTCAGGAAAGAAAAGAGCAGAGACTACTGCACAGTTAAGGAGTGAGGAATTTCCTGTGAAGGACTGATTAGGTGAACAGCAATGGTTCCCAGTCTTTGCTGCACACAGACTCACTCGAGTGGCCAGGTCACATGCTTTATTGTAACATCAAAATGTCTGGGGATGGAAGCCAGGATCAGTTTTTGTTAAGACGACCAGGTGATTTCAATGCACAAAAGAACTTGGGAAGCATAGCATACATATTGGCTTAGCTGCAACAGGCCATGAATGTAGATATGAGAAGATAAATTAATTCAGTAGCTCTGAAACCCTAATGTGCATCAGAATGGAGGGGAAAACTTGTTAAATCACTTTTTGCTGTGCTCCATTCCCAAAGTTTCTGATGCCACATGTCTGGACTGGGAGCCTGAGAATCTGAATACTTAAGATCTGGGCAGTGTTGATGCTACTGGTCCAGAGAACCCAGGGACTCATGCATACTAAACTCGTGAGAGGTGGGGAAGGAGGGAAGATAAACAATGGTAGTAGGTCCTTCATGGCCAACAGAAGAATCTGCACTTGCTAAAACACACTAACAGGGAAACACTGCAATTAAATTCAATTATAAAAGAAATATACACATATTAAAGGATAAAACAGAGAAGTATAAAAACATTATAATTCTGCCCTTGAAGATAGCCACTATTAACTTTGTCATGTATGTCCTTCTACTCTTTATGCTTTAAAATAAGATTGATATACAGTACACAAATTTGTAACTGAAATTTAGTCACTGTTTTGTGGCTTTTTGCAGTACTGAGGATTGAACCCAGGGACTCATGCATACCTAGCAAGTGCTCTACCACTGAACTACATCCTTGTCCTTTATATTTCTCAGTTTGGGACAGAGTCTCACCAAGTTGCCTAGCTTGGCCTTGAACCTCCCGCAATCCTCCTGATAATTGAGCTACACAAGTAGCTGGGATTATAGGCATGAAACACTGCACCAGGCTTGAAGATTTTTTTTCAGAAGAGGTTTAAAAAAAAAAAAAGAAGAGGTTTTGCTAAGTAACACTAGCTAGGTTTGAACTCACTATGTAGCCCAGGCTGGCCTTGAACTTGAAGCAATCAATCTTCCTGCCTCAGCCTCCTGAGTGCTAGGATTACAGACAGGTGTGTGCCACCACACCCGGCTTTGAAGATTTTCAAAGAGGTTAACAGAATAATATTGGAAGACGGGTGCTATAGAAAATGCATATATAAGACAACGTAAGTATGAAATGAAAAAAATCTAAAGACTGACTACAGCTGTAGAAAATCAAGTCAGTATGGTGACATACAGCATGAGCAAAAGAGTCAAGAGACATAGTAAAATATATGGATTAATAATAAAAGCAGGCAAATGTGACTCTCCAAGAACAAACGTCTCCAGGTAATTAATAAAATAGTTTAAGAAATGCTTCTAAAATTTTAAGGTGGTAGCACATCTGTAGTCCCAGCACTCCAGGAAGCATGGGGAAGAGGATGACAAATTCAAGCCCAGCCTGAGACCCTGTCTCAAAAAAAGAAAAAAAAAAAATTAAGAAAGGGCTGGGGATGTGTAAAGGCCCTAGGTTCAATCCCCTGTGTGTGTGTGTGTGTGTGTGTGTGTGTGTGTGTGTGTTGGGGTGGGGGGTGGGGCAGGGAGATGACCTAAAAAACAAACAAAAAAGACTTTAAACTGGTAGAACAGATCATGTTATTCAGCAGAAATGGGAAAGAAACAACTGAGGAGAATTAGACTAATCAGTTTCAGTAAGTCTTATGGAATGGGGGACATGATAAAAAAGGATCAAAAAATTAAAAAAAAAATTGTTCCAAGACTCAGTTCAAAAATGGTATGTCCCATCATCATTACATACAGATGTAGAAGTTAATGTAGGACAAAAGACTGGACGATTAGAGGATGCAAATTAATGTTTTAAGATAAAAAAGAAAAGGGCATTAGAAATTATTAGAGAAGAGGGTAACAGATGAAAAAAAAGATGACGGAGGCCAAAGTGAACAGTAATTTGAAATGCAGTGGTCACTTTTAACCCAAGCCAAAATCTGGTCCATGGGTAAGATATGACTAAACAGCCTGGGTTAGAAAATAAACTTTGGCCAGGCATGGTGGTGCACACCTATAATCCCAGCTCTTGGGAAGCTGAGGCTGGAGGATCACTGTGAGTTCGAGGCCAGCCTAGGACACATAGTGAGACCCTGTCTCAATCCCCCACCAAAAAAACATTAAAAAGTAAAATAAATAAGTAAGTTTAAAAAAAAAAAAAAAAAGAACAACTTTGGATGCTTTTAGCAGCAGCCCACTGGTCTGGTTTGATTATTGCCCACCCTGCTCAACACACACACACACACACACACACACACACACACACACACACATACATACACAGTTTTCTGAGCAACTGTACCCCAAAGAACTCAACAAGCAGAAGTCATTGTTAGAAGTAGGTAGACTCCAGAAACCAGGGTTAGGAACTTCTGAATGACAAATGAAAAGTATCAAAAGCACAGAAATGTAGACAATTTAATTATGACCTGTCCATTTCTACAAATTTATTAAGTTTAAACCCTACATTTATCATGTGTAGAAGAATTACTTATTTTTAGATGAATTTATAGAATTTATAAGAATTACTTATTTATTAGCTCACCTGAACTAATTTAAACATTTCATCTTGGAGCATCTGCCTGACAGAATCAGAAGAATCTGGTAATGGAGCCCTATGTTCATCTCCATGGGTCTTCTGAGGTGTGGGAACAGGTGTTTGTGAAGCTGCGTTGATTCCATTTGATACCAGGGAAGGAACTGAGGGAGATTTATCTTTAGATGCAGAAATCTGTGCACTGTATAGAAGCATTTAAATAAAAATCACATTCTAATTCACAACAAAAAACAATTGGATATCTATAATCCAAATATTTAGATCCCATCGTTTCTTCAAATTTAAGTTACTCTAGCAGTTTTCAGGATTTCTCCTGAACAGAACTATTTTTCACCTTTATTGGGGACATGTACTGTCTACTCAGCAGTGATCCTTCACTGCGGTGTTACACTCTGAAGTGGCCCACCCTTCTCCCCTAGGAACCTGAGTTTGAGACCAGTGCAATCATTGTAACTTAACAGACTTTGTAATTTGGCTTAGAAGTAAGTTTTTTGATGAAAATTAATGATATTAACTGTATTTTGATACAGTTAATGCCAGGTGTGGTGGCGCATGCCTGTAATTCCAGACTTGTAGGCTGAGGCAGGAGAATCACTATGAGTTCGAGGCCAGACTGTGCTACATAGTGAGTTCAAGACCCGCCTGAATGGTATAGTGAGACCCTGTGTAAAAACAACAACAAAAAAATCCACACATACAAAAAAAATACAGCTAAGAAAACTGAAAAATAACTGGTTTAAAAACTTTAATTTTAGGATTGATAGAGCAAAAACTGCTGATTTTCATTAAATATCAGATAAAAGCATTGCGAACATTCATATCCAGACAATCAACAAGTTTCCATTTATAATAAACCCTAAAAATGCTTACAGAGAAATAAAAATTAAAACTTCAAATTTTGCTTTTCAAACAAAATTATTGCTAGTTAGCAATTCCTTAAACACAGCATGAGGCGAGTGTTTTCCAAGCACATAAATTTTGTAAACTAAGGAACTAGGCAATTATCATACTCAAATAAATTATTCATTGTTTTTTAATTAGATTTATTTCAGTTTACAATCATTCCCTTTTAGCAATAATATCTGCTTTCAGTAAACATCCAATATGCTCAATAACACAACTATTTGGAAAATTCATGCAAGACAGGCACCACAACTGATTGCTCATTTTAAGAAAACTTTATTGGCCTTTGCCTTTAGCAACTAGTGAGAAGACCAATTCCAATAATATAAATTTTTTCTGAAGTAAAGCTGTGCTGTACTTTCCTCCTAATTTAGCAAGATTTGTAAGCATTAAGCAATGTTTTTAAACTGTTAAAAAAATTAAAAAGCAAACTATATAAATCTAACTCTAAAGAGAATTATCACAAATCAAAAGTTGAAAATGAGCAATAATTCCATCTCTCAAATATATACGCACTATTTTTTTCCTGAAATAATTGCTCTAACATAGTTTCTGTATGTCTTTAATCATATAGGAAAGCCAGGCGTGGTGGTGAATGCTTGTAATCCCAGCACTTGGAAGGCTGAGGCAGGAGGATCATTGCAAGTTTGAGACCAGCCTGGGCTACAAAGTGAGCTCAAGGTCAGCCTGAACTGCATAGTGAGACCCTGTCTCAAAAAAAAGGGAAAAACCAAATGATGGCAGCAGATTAACACACTGTGATACACACTGTAAATTACAGAAATAGTGGAAAGTATCTGAATAAGATGTCATAAACACATTCCTATACTACTCTTCAAATTACTATGTTTTTTCCTTAGGTTTTAATCAAAATGTTTACCACATATCTCAAATTGGTACAGCAAACATTAACTCATACTCTATTTGTAAAACATGATTATTTCAAAACAGTACAGTGAACAAAAATTCTTACCTGGAAATTTCTGAACTTGTATCTATACAAAATGAATGAGGAATGGTATGTTCAGGATTTGAAAAGCCTTTGATCATACTACAAATAAGAATTAATAAGTGATTAGGTAGCAAGATATCCTTTATATAACCTAAGGTACACGTGATTTAATGCTGAGCCATCTAAGAGTCTAAACATCCTTTTGTTCTCTCTCATGCTTAGCTCATAATCATAATCTGTTTACATCTGTCTCCATAGCAATATGGAAGAGATTCAAACAAAAACAAAGAATATGTCTGGATAATTTAACACATGATGACATACCCTGTTGACTGCTGAGCAACAGGAAATAGAATCTAAAATGAGGGGACGTAAGATTAGTTGGGATCCAAAACTTCTCCTATAGAATAAGTGGACATTTTGCTCAGAATACTAAACAGCTCACTGTCACATCTGCAACAGTAAAGGCTAGTTGGGACTGGGGATTTAGCTCAGCGGCACAGCACCTGCCTGGCAAGTGCAAGGTCGTGAGTTTAATTCCCAGTACAGGGAAAAAACAAAAACAAACAAACAAAACAAAACAAAAAACAGTAAAGGCTAGTTTTTCTGAACAGAGATACCTATTACTGGTAAGGGCTCAGTGATAAAGCAGGAGCAATGACCTGGCTTTGATTCCTAGCACAACAAAACAAAACAAAACAAAACACCAAAAACCAACCAACAAATAAAAAAACCCCACTTTTGCTAATGATGTATCCATAGTAGAGGTAAACAACATTTGCATATTAAGAAAAAGAAGATATAATTACGTCATTTGTCTTATTCTTTTAGTCAAGGAAATACCAAAATTCCAACACTTCTAAAATTCCAAAAATGAAGAAATTATATCCAAACTGCAACATATGACAGCTTTCTTATGTTCAACTTCAACTTTCCTTGAAGCAACGATAAGCTAATCAGTATACACACACATCATGATCTAATGGAGAGAGTAGAGTAAACAAAGCCTAACAGGGCCGAGGATATAGCTCAGTGCATAAAGCCTGCCTGGCCAGTACGAGGTTTGATTCCCCATTCCCAAAAAACAAACAACAAAGCCTAACAGTAAAAGATCATATGTAATTACTGTAACAATTCTTTAATTCAACAAAAATGGAGGGGCTAGGGATTTAACTCAGCGGCACAGTGCCTGCCTGGCAAGCGCGAGGTCGTGGGTTCAATTCCCGGTACCGGAAACAAAACAAAACAAAACAAAACAAAACAAAACAAATCAGGCAAAAAAAATGGAATCAGTATGGAAAGGCAGTTTCTTAACAGATAAATAAGCTCTAGTCCATTTACTATCATATTTTAATTTGAAAGGCTGACAGTGATGAAAGAACAAAAGGCACTTTAGTTATTATTATTTCACTTTACCACAATCATTGTTTACTATTACTCTAGATTGAGGCTATAATTTCACTAGAAACACAATACCACCATAAAGTATATATTATAAATTATGAAAAAAAGCTGTAAGATTCACTGAGGTAAAAAACCTAGAGATAATATCACTTCATACTTTTATCTCCTTACCCTTGCTGTTCAGATTTTTCCTCCACATCTATCTCCAGTGGTTCTTCCCTTGGACATCGAACCTCTTCTGTGGATTGCTATTAAAATGAAGAGTATACAAAATGAAAAGAGAAGAAACAAACAGGTACTGTTGCAATGGGTATTTTGAGTTTCACATTAGCACCTCACCTAGAGTAACAACAATCTAAAAGCAAGTGAAAAATCGAACACTAAAATGTACTTCCAGTCCTTTATACTGTTTGAATTGCTTTTGGCCCATTCCTCTAAGGTACTGAGCATATTAAGGCACAAAGAGAAGATGATGTTAGAAGACTAACACATCAATTATATACACAATGACATATTCATTATTTAACCTGTGAAAACTACTACAAAGTCAGGAAAAACTAATTCTTTCTAAAAGTATTGTTACCATCACTGGAAATGCCTATGCTCTGCATGGAAATGCAGTGTATAGAATTTTGAGAAAACGATACAACAAATTGCAAACAGGTACAAAAATTACTCAGGCATGGCGGTGCACACGTATAATCTCAGCATTTGAGAGACTGAGAAAGGAGGAATACAAATTTCAGTCCCATCTAAGCAACTCAGCAAGACCCGTCTCAGAAAAGGCAAAGGCAAAGAAAAGAAACAACAACAAAATGAGAAGAAAAGAAAGAAAAGGCTGGGATGTAGCACAGGGTGAAGCCCCTGGGTTTAACCCATAGCAGAGAAACAAAAAACCTGCAGCGACACTGAATTATACTGTAAACAAAGGACATTTTTACCACTCTTGATTAAATTAATTTGCTAATGCACTTTTATAATGAAAAATGTCACTTTTTAAAGTTATTGGACATGTAACAGAACTTTAAAGAAAGAAAAGTGCCACACAGCATGGCTATATTCTATAATCCACATAACTGTCTCGTTTTAATGTATAACAGTGATATGTAACAAAAAACTGATTTTTTTTTTTTTGAGACAGGGTCTCACTATGTAGCTCAGGCTGGCCTTGAACTATATAGCCCAAGCTGGCCTTGAACTTGCAGTGATTTTCCTATCTCAGCCTCCAAAGTGCTGGAATTATATTATAATGTGTGGGGGGAAGGGCAGAAATTCTCCCTTATATCCTAAATTTTTCATTTTTGTATCTTTTTTTTTTCTTTTTTTTCCTGGTATGGGGATTGAACTCTAGACCTTCTCACTGAGCTATACCCATAGACATTTTTTTATTTTTTATTTTGAAAGAAGATCTTGCTACATTGCTAAATTCCCCAAGCTGGGTTTGACTTTGTGATCCTCCTGCCTCATCCTCTGACAGTACTGAGATTACAGGCATGTACCACCACCCCCAGGCAAAAGTTGCATGATTTTACCTACTATCAACAACTTACTTTTTCTAACTGCTGTGGTAAGGTCTGCATGTAAATGGCAACATTGGGACTTTTGGGACTTCCAACAGGTTCTTCTGGGGGAAAATAAAAGAGGAAGAGGAAACTGATGATTTGAAACACTGTAGTTTGAATTTTTAAATGTTTATAAGAAATGAGTATAATGACAAAAACATTTTCTACTCCCCTTGCAAAAATATTTTTTAGAAACACCTGGAGACCTCTCCATCAACTAAATCCCACATGTGCCTTGACAGGCCTTGTTTCATTCTATATAATTCCATGTGGAGCTCTGAGACTTTTTGCTTTAAGGATGGCTGCCACGGAGAGGTTCACAGACTCGGTTCACATGTATTAAGACACCTCAAATTATTCCACAGGCAGGGCAAGAGACTCAAAAACTCTAAAAGAACTACCAACACAAAAATGCCTATGACTTCTTGGTCTTATTAACAACCAAATTATGAGTTCATATACTAACTCATTCATAGATATAACACTCTCAAGTTTTAGTTTAGGCTACTATAGACATAATAACTTAGATGTAAGAAAGTTAAATATGTTTCTTCAGACAATATCATTCACCAGTTTCAAATAAAGCTAGAGAAAAAGATGATCTACATCAACTGACCTTCACAGTCTGATACGTGCATATCCATTCCTTCCCGTGTAAACATTTCTACTTGTAAAAGATTCTCATTGGTATCTATAAATTCTTGTTCAGTATTATGAGTGACAAAAATAACCTCATCACTGATTTCTTTTATTTCTGGATTTTCTGTTTTAGTTGACATTCTAGTGACAAAAATATAGCAACTATTATTACAACTCAGTCCTGGTAACAAACAAGTTGCTTTTACTCAATTCTAACTTTTTAGAAACAACAAATGTAACTTTTTTTATTCTTCCTTTTTTTAGATTTCTGCTTCATAAAAGTTCGATTAAAGGTCATTCAATGAATGACTGAACATCCTAGTTTTCGAAGACTAAAATAATTTCAATTTATCTAAAATTACCATTCTCACAAAAAAACTTTCACATTTTAAGTGCTTTTGCTTTGGTATTTGCTTCAGTTTGTACACTGAATGCCCCAAAAGATTCTGGTGCTAAAGACTTTGTTCATAGGGCAGTGCTCCTGGGACAGGTAGAGCCTTTGAGAACGGGGCCTTGGGAGAGGTCCTTACATCATGGAAGGGGAACTGTGGGATCCAGTTCTGGCCAGAGTATGAGTGGTTTTATTCCACTGTGCACTTCTATCATGAAGTACTGCTTCACCACAAGCCCTAAGCAATGAGGTCAACCAATTATGGAGTTGGAACCTCCAAAAATGTAGGTTAAAAAAAATCTTTAAGTTAGTTATTGCAGGTACTTCATTATAGTGACGGAAAGCTGACTAACAGTATTCAGAGATATATTACTCCTATTACTACTTCATATATAAAAATAAATGAAATGGATAAAACCACTTCATATATAAAAGTGAATGAATACTCTGACATGGGAAGTAATAAAGGAATCTCTCGGGATGAATTAGCTCCTGTCTCAGAAGACACATGCTAGACGAACAGAAGAAGTGTACCTTACAATGAATTATTGCAGAATTTCAGAAATCTCACTTTCTAGCTGGGGTACAGGTAGAAGTGCTCATATAGCATGTGCCAGGCCTAAGATTTAATCCCCAGTACAGCACAAAAAGAAAGTTTACTTCCTGTTCCTCTAGTTCAAGAAATGCTCCTTCCTTTCATTTGGAAGGCTTCCATTCTTCCCATTAATCCAAACACTAACTTCTATTGAAAAGGAAGGTAAAAGCAAAAACTCACTTGAAGACACTCTGACTAAATTCATTCCAGTCATCACTTTCCTCAGTTCCACTTTTAGTTGCCCGTGCGGCTGAACAGCCACCATCAGTGTTGCTGTCCCTCTGGATGCTGGGTTTAATCTGAGACACAGTACACTGATTCTCTAGTACCTAAAACAAACCATTTGTAGCATTTTGTATCCATTACTGAACAACTTTTTTTTACATTTTTTAATTATTCAAAATGACACAATGGACAAAAATATATGCAGCTAAAATATAAGGGATGGATCCCTTTAGTGTAATTTAGATATTTATATATGTATTATCCAGAAATACAAATTTCAAAGACAACAAATACAGTTTCACATAAACTTTATTTTTTTTTTTTTTTTTTTTTTTTTTTTTTTTTGGTTTTTGGTTTTTCTCCGGTACCGGGAACCGAACTCATGACCTTGCGCTTGCCAGGCAGGCGCTTTTGCCGCTGAGCTAAATCCCCAGCCCCTTCACATAAACTTTATACTTGAAGAACTGATTGCAAAAAAGGAAAAGGAAAAAAAACATAAAAACAATAGCAAAAATTAAATAATTCTCACATATGTATATACTCTTTGTACCTTTCAACCTGGAATAAACTAGCCCAAAGGCACTTGCCATTTACTACACAAGAGAAAGACTAATCAGAATTACTTTTCTACTGATGCTCGTCTGTTTTCCTTTTTTAAAAAAAATTTTTTTGAGTTGTCTCATTGTGTTGTTCAGGCTGGCTTTGAGTTCACTGTATAGCCCAGGCTGGCCAACTTGCGGTGACCATCCGGCCTGAGCCTCCAAATGCTGGGATTACAGGTGTGTGCCACCACACCCAGCTGATCTGTTCTTCTAGGTTAGGTTTTCCAACCTTTTTTGGGACTCAGATCCTCCTGCCTTGCCTCCAAGAGAGCTGGAATTACAAGCAAGTGCTACTATACCCAGTTCCCTTTTTCCTTTTTATAAACACATATAAAACCTCAAAACTGATGGTTGTGATGGCCTCTCTGAAAGTATTTTCACTTTACTTTTTTTAGAATAAAAGGAACCCCATGAGGAAAAAAAAAAATCTACATTAGATATACAGAGTATAATCAGTATTGTCTAATTTTCCATTAGTGGTTCTTTATAGGTGGTGAAATATAGTTTTAATCTAAAAATGACATTTCTCATTTGTAACAGCTGATGTACTTACCTTACTTTTTGCCTTACATGTAGGAACAAAATAAGGTTGTTCCAAAAGCCACAAAGAGGTAAGAATGGCAGCTGTAGAGGTTTTTACACGAATGACTGGACTGTACTCAGAGGATGACTGAGTGATACCAGAGTCACAGAGGAGTCTTCGATCAGACCACCGCACCATCCACTCCAGCAGTCTTCCCACACTGCCGTACATGCTCTTCAGCACCAGAGGAAGAGCCTCCTGAGGGTTAGTGTCACTGTACTGAATAGGTCTGAAACTGCATTTTCTAGTTTTAGGCTTTGGAGTCCAAAATTTATGGTCTGATGATTCCTGGATTAGAGATTTCTCTTGGTTACCATCTTGAATTCTGTAAATTGACTTTTGTTTTAAACCAAACAATCCTTCTTTTTCTTTACTTTTATTGATTTCATTTGGTGGATTCTCTAAAATGGGTCTGAGTCCTTGATTAACTAGTTCAGATGCTGAAAATGCCTGATTGTCTAAACTTAGGCCATATTTGTCATTTAAAGCAGATGATTTTTCAGATTCATAGGACTCAGGAACAGCAACAAAGCAGGAGCCAGCTCTAAACACATTCTGGCTTTTAGTTTTGCCCTGACATCGTTTTAATGTTGTATGCACATCAAAAAGTAAAGAATTAAGTTCATGTTCCCTAAGCTGTACAGAAAAACTAGTTAGAAATGGAATGCCAGGATCTCTAGAACTGAGTAGATCTCTTTCAAGAACATAACTCAAAAAGAGATCAAGGAATTTAATATATTCATCATCATCTCGCTCAAATTCCCAAACACCTATTACAGGAAGTATATTTTGTGTTAACTTTTTGTTATCTTCCTTCCTTATAGGGTTTTGCTTCTGATCACAAATTTTCTTTCTATTACTGGGCTGATCAACAAATGATAGTTCTGAATTACTTGGGGTATTCCTACAGCAAAAAAAAAAAAAAAAAAAAAAAAAAAAAAGAGAGAGAGAGAAAAAGAAAAAGAAAAAGAAAAAAAGACAAAATTAATGATTATTTAACTTCTAAAACTTATATTAGAATTAACATTAAAAATTCATGCAAGATGTGGTGGCCCACACCTATAATCCCAGCACTCAAGTGGCTGAGGCAGAAGGATCACCATGAGTTCAAGGCCAGCCTGGGCTACACAGTGAGTTCAGGACCAGCCTAAACTATGCAGACAGACCCAGACCTTGGCTGCCTCAAGCCACACCCCGCTCCAAAAATTCTCACCACTACTGAAGATGATAGTATAGACCTGTAATCCAAATACTTAGAATTACACTTAAGGCATGGGAGGTTCACTTGTTTGAGCCCCAACCTGGGCAACTTAGTGAATGGGTGAGACTCTGAAAAATTAAGAAAGGGCTACAGAGGATAGTGTAGCTCAGGGCAAAGGCCTTGGGTTCAATCCCTAGCATTGTTTAAAAGAAAATTCTCTATTAAGTCATGGATCTTTTCAGTGTTTATATTACCTATTATTCAAATGAGGGAGTGTAAACTAAAGCTAGTATGTAAGGCCAAAAAATATAACACATTAGTATCAAATAAAATTTGTTAAAAGAAATTAAAATGTGTTCACAGAAATTTCATTATAAAAGAAAAAGAATTTTGAGGAGAGTAAAAAAACAAGTCCTCCAATAAAGTCACAAGGTACCAATAAACATCTTAATTTAGGGTTTCTTGGGGCTATTTGTTAGACAGACACCTAGCTGTCAACCACAACTGCTTTCAAATGTTTCAATTTTTTATTTTATTAGTATATGTCTGTAGTTTGTGCAGTTTACAATCATCTTGGGGAATATAATGTTGAGTGAAATAAACCAGGCATACAAGCCTAAATACTGTATGGCATCCCTCATTTAAGTGAGGCAAAGTACAAAGAGAGTACAGTAATAAAGGATCAATGTTTCTTTTAGCAGAGTTCTTAGGTGGGTCTGAAGGTATAGCTGAAGCTAGATGACCTTGGGCAAATTATTTACTTAATCACTGTGAACTCGTTTTACTATTATTATGAGATATTTATCTAGCTGAAATGATTGATTTCATTCACCAAAGGTCCTAATACAATGTCTCGTACTTAGTGGGCATTAAATAGTAGCTGGGATGTTGCTGCTATTTGATTCTTATTTGTTACTGTAACTACTGTTTTTATTATTGTGATTATTATTTTAAGAATCGACTAAAATGAATAAAACTTATAGCTTTGTAAACTACAAATAAAATAAGTTAAAATAAAGGTGTAGCTCAGGGGAACAGTGCTTGCCTAGCACACGTGAGGTCCTGGATTCAATTCCCAGCATTACCACAAAAACCAAAAAAGTTCAGAATGTTCCCTTGGGTGGAACACGGATCCTCAAATCTCTTAATATTATTGAGAAAAGGTGCTAGGCACTGAGATGTACAATAAGCAGCCTGCAGGGCACTCCTGTGCAGACACTTAAGCACAGCTGTTTTGTGAAACAAGCACACCATTTAAAACAGCAGATGTTTGGAATAGATGTGATAATTTCACTTACACAAAATTACTGCTGAGCTGATTATACAGTCTTTAAACTATGAGGACAAACTGCATTGCAGTTACTGAAATTATAAAGAAGAATATCAGTTTAAATCACTGTGATATGGGTTTAAGAGAGTAAGCAAGAATTTCCCAACAAATTAAGACATGTTTCAAGGATGAATGTGTAAGTTCCTGCCCTGGAAACCCTTAAAAGTGATATGGCTAACCCAGTCGCACCAAACTACAGGCTGACTGTCCCTTATCTGAAGTGTGGTGGGACCAGAGTGTTTTTGCAGTTTGTGGGTTGTTTTCTTTTTTAAAAAAATTTTGAATACTTGCACATTCATAATGAAATATTTCAGGCATGGGGTCCAAGTCAAAACTGAAATTCACTTGTGTTTGGGGAATTGGGGTATAGCCCAGTGATAGAGCTCTTTCTCAGCATGTGCAACATCCTGGGCTTGCATACCAGCAACACAAAAATGAGGAGAAGGAAAAGAAAAAAGATGGAAATTCATTTATATTTCATAGTAATTCTATACAGGATTTTCAGTGCACCTGAACATCTCACATTATACTCACACTATGCTGTGAGTGGGGAGCTTGACACTTATCTTTTACATTGTCAGTACAATCTGCAAGGGTTCCTGAGACCAGAAGTCACTCATCACTTGCACAAGAACAGTGAAAGCATTTTCTTCCAAACAAAGTCAGTGCTTGTTATTAGGAAAGCCCACGGTACCTGTGGTAGAAAGGTAGCCTCTTTTTTTCTTCAACTGATAATGCTTCAGAGAGGGTATCTGCATCACTCTGTACCACAGAATTCCCCAGTTCTGTGAGGGTGCTTCTGCTTAAGCTAGTCCCCAGGGAAAACCTGTCGAAACCTGGAATCTCGTCTGGTTTCTCTTCTTCAACTGGTTCCCAAATGTTCATCTCAAAAGAACCTATATTTCTCTGCACGCGTTTTAGGGCTTTCACCCTCACTTTATGGATAGAATGCATGACAACAGACATCATTTCCTCAGTCTGGGGACCTGGAAGCAGAGAACAAAAGGCCTATGGTTCATTAAAGTGCTTCCACTCAAGACATAAGGGAGCCAATTCTGGTTTTTTCTGGTGACATGAAACCTAACAACTAAGGCTACACACTATGTTTTATTCAGTGCTCACTGGAAAATATGGGAGAGGTATGTGAGAGGCCCTGGGTTCAATCCCCAATACCAAAAAAAAAAAAAAAAAAAAAAATTAAAGCCACAACATTGTAAATGTACTTCATGCCACTTAGCTACACACTAAAAAATGGTTTAAACTGGAGGTGGGTGTGAATGGCACACACCTATAATCCCTGCTGCTCCAGAGACTGAGGCATGGAGATGAGGATGGAGGATGGTATTTGAGGTAAGCCTGGGCAACACAGAGAATCTCAAACAAACAAAAAGGTTAAAGTATGGAGAAGGAAAATTATAAATTATCTTCAATATGAAAAGCACTACATGGCTCCCCCTCCTACCCTCGCTGTTTAGAGATGGAATCTATGTTGCTCAGGCTAGAATGAACTCATAGGCTCAAGCAATCCTCCTGATTCGGCCTCCCAAGAAGATAGGACCACAAGCTTGTGCCACCACAGCCAGTTCATGTGCTCACTTTATACATCTTATTTAATCCTCTCAGTTCATATTGATAAAGTAGATAATAATATATCCATTTTACAAATAAGGAAATGAGGTTCAGAGAGACTGAGCATCTCACTTCAGGTCACACAGTTACTGATTAACAGTCATGACTTAATGTGAGCTCCATCTGGCTCCAGAACCACAGAACTAATTCTGCAGTGGGGTAAGGTGCTGACCTTCTCACACTCTTGTCTCTAGGGAAAAGCAAAAATGCACAGATGCATGAATGGCAGACAGTAAATGCTTTCAAAAGAAGAATATCTTTGGCAATTTATCCATTAGATATCTAAGAAATAACAAATACCTTTCACAACGCAGTGTCTGAATCTCTGCTGAAGAGAGTGGTATTTTTCTCTTAAAGGAACTCTTATATCCTCTGGATTGGGAAATGCTTTCACAAAAATTTCTGCTACCTTCAGAAAAAGTGTTTGAAAGCTTTATGAGCAACATCATTTTCCCCCTTTTTCATTCTTCAAATATTTTAACTCAAAATATAAAAGCATATTTAGTACTAAACTTCTGATGTTGGACTGAAGGCTCTTTAAGTTTGCATTAACATCTTTTGTCCTTTTAAAAAAATTTAAAATGTGTAACTGACAAAAACTATATATTCATGGGTACAGTGTGATAGCTGGATATACATATACATTGTGTGATTACCGCAGGCAAATAAACACATCCATCACTATAGTTACCATCATGTGTGGGAGGGGGGAGGACACTTAAAATCTCCCCCTTATAAAATTTCAGGTAAATACAGCAGTATTAACTACAGTCACAATATTATATGTTAGATGCCCAGAACTCATATATCTTGTAAATGAAAATCTAGACTTTTTAACCAACATCTCCCCATTTCTACCATGCTATATCTGCAAGGATATTATGCCAAGCGAAAAAAAGCCAAACACAGAAAGGCCACACAATTCTTAATTTAAAAAAGTAAAAATCTTTTAAAGTCTCTGATTCAGTTTTAGTTTATTTTCCCCTAAAATCGTATTACCTTTCTGACTGGTGGCAGTTCTCCAATAAGGCTCAAAATTATATCCTGAATAAGTTCTTCAGTATTAAAAAACCGAGAGAAAGGTAGCATTCGGTAAGCCCATTCCACTGCACTAAGACAGTGCTCAACCACGCAGGAATCGAACTCCACTTCTAGGTCCTAAATGGGTATTGAGAAGATTTATTGCCTTTTCATTTTAGATGGGTAGATCAGAATGACTTCAAATCATGACATAAAAAGTACATTTTCTGTTAAGCAATTTCCCAAGTAATGTTTATTAATGTTAGTAAGAAAAGAAAATACCTTTTCTCTTTTCATATTTTCTCTTGCTTTCTGATACTGCCTACAACTGTAGGATAAATTATCACGGATATGCAGCACCCAGCACAAGGCACAGAGTTCTCTGAAGCAGCCTAAAGAGGGATATAAATATGAAAAAAAAGTATGAGTATGTGTGTTAAAACTAGAACAACTCAACCTCTGCTGTTTTTTTCACAATAAATATGTTTTGTTGATTATAAAAGAAACATGCTCATAAACACCTTATATAAAAGTCAGTGTTCCTTCCAAAATTTTAATTCATATTATTCTATAATATTTCATGCATATCAGTTGTAGGAATATACTGAAAACATACTTATACAGTAGGGAACTTGTTCTATTTACTATCAGTTTACTTGTTTCATAACTTCACAGTATATTACAGATATTTTTCAAGGCCAATACAGGTAACCCTACATTGTATAATTAATTTGGAAAATCCTTTTTTTTCCCTCAATGCTGGGAAAGTAACTCAATGCTTCACATATCCCAACCAAGTGCTATACCACTAAGCTATAACCCCAGCACTGGCCCTGAAAATCACCGATATGCATTTATATTTAAATTTTTAAATATTAAAGATTATTGCAAATATTCATTTTTTATTAAAAGCAACACATGGGCTGGGGGGGGGGTTGGCTCAATGGTAGAATATATGCATGGCATGCCTGAGGTCCTGGGTTCCATCCCCAGCACCAAGAACAAACAAAATAAAACAGCAGTACAAGTACACAAAGATATGTAAAAAGCATACTGTGTATATGTATGTAAAGCATACTGTGCTTTACAATTACTCTTTTTTAAAAACCTAATGTAGGGCTCGGGATATAGCTCAGTGGCACAGTGCCTGCCTGACAAACACAAGGTGCTGAGTTTGATTCCTGGCAACAACAAAAAAGAAAAATACAAAAAACCAAAAAAACCCACCTGAATATACCTTGGATATCTCTTCATACTAATACACTTTTAAAATTGCGAATATGGTATTCCATTGTATTGAGCATCATCGTTTATACAGAACCAGCTAGTAAAACAAATTTCATCTCCTTCTAATCTTAAATTTAATTTTGCTTATTTTCACTAAGTGTGGCCAATAAAGGAAGATTCATCTTTGTTACTGTGGTTAATAATGCTCTTTTCTTGTAGAGAAAGGTAATCTCTTAAAATACAGCAATTATTCATTTAAGCCTTAATTTTTAAAAACAAGACTTATTTTTATACTAAAGTGACTTTTATATTAGTGGTTAGTATTTTCATTTTCTTTAGGAAGCTACTTAATGTATTTTTAAATAATGTTACACAACTAGAGTGTACTGCTTGACAATATGGAAGCAGAGTATTCAGAATAGGTCTTTAACAAATCTTATTCAGCTAAAAGGGAAAGTGGTGGGTAAATCTCCCAGGCAGACCAACAGGCTCACCCATAGGCAGTATTGCATTACACCCCAACCCCTCACACCAGATTCTGATACAGTCTACCAGGGCAGAACAGCCGAATATTTAAGGAAGGTAACATAAGTGACAGATGTGTGTCTGTTTCCTATTTCACAGGCATGTTGGGATAGAACTAAGGCCAACAAACAAGATGATCAATTGCAAAATATGTTTACTAGGCAGCTATTCATCTAAAAGCATGCCTTTATGAGTTTTTCCAACTGTGAAATACAATCTATTACAAACTACTAAACTGTAAAATGAATTTAGCGGGTCTCAGACATTTTAAAAACAGAATATAATGGAAAACAGCAAGAGTGCATGATACATAAGAGAATAGTTTATTAAATTTTCTTTTCTTTTTGTTCATTGAATTTTCATTCCAGATTTACATAGGTGTATGTACTGTACTGATATAAAATCTGTACCTTATTATAAGTCATGTCATAAAAGTTTGGACACCAAAAAGGTATAATCAATGGACACCAGAATTGCAGGGATATTACTAGATAAATGATCTGGTTTCCTCAATAAATAAATGATATGAAAAAAGTGGGGGGGGCTGGGCATGGTGGTACACCATTGTAATGTAATGGTTCACCATGTAATAGCAGCACTCTGAAGCTGAGGCAGAAGAACTGCTGTGAGTCTGAGGCCAGCCTGGGCTACACAGTGAATTCAAGGCCAGCCTGAATTACATTGAGTGTCCCTGTCTCAAAAAAAAAAAAAGAAAAAAAAGTGGCGAGAGGAAAATTTTTCTGTACTGAATGTTACATATAGACCAAAATACAATGTGGAGCAGGCTCAGCTTGGATCTAGATACGAAAAAAAAATAACTGTAAAAAAGACATACTTAAGATAACCAAGTGTTGTAGTTTGTTTGGGGTTTTTGCAAGGGGAACACATAACACAGGGCACATATTTTATAAGACTACTTTATAATAGTCATCCCAAGAACCATATACAAAGAGTGCAGGAAATCTGCCCACACACTAAGGACCAAAGAATCCAGCTGAGGGCCTAGATCCCACAGTAATGTCCTGCATAAGTCCAGCTGGAGGCCTAGAGTCCATGACAATGTCTCATGCAGGCCTGCTTCATAGATCTGCGCTGGGAAGGTCCAAAGGTCAGTGGTGGAATCTAGAAAGTCTGTGTCAGCAGGATGAGAAATCTTCACTATAGCCAGGAAGCGATGCTCAAAATAAGAACCAGAGCTCCCCTGAACAGTACCACAGCCATCCTCGGCAACAGTGAGGTCTCAAGCTCCTCTGATGATGAGGAAAGCCAAGTTCCCATCAGGAAAGCCAATGTGACAAGCTTCTCCAGGAGACTGAGTAGTGTACCATTTTCCCCTCTGGAGTCAGGAAGCAATGCTCTAAGTGAGGACCAGAGCTCTCCGAGAGAGAACTGTAGACATTCTCAATGACAACAAGGTTCTGAGCTCCTTAGACAATGAGTACAGCTGAGTTCATCAGAACCAACAGCTCCTTGCGGCTCCTAACAGCAACCAACAGCTTCTACCAGCCCGCAACAGCTTCTCTTCTTCTCCAGTTCTGCTTCTTATGCTGCTGGCAACAACCCTCAGGTGGGCCTCCCATACCCAGCACCACACTGATTCAGAACAACTGGATGTTATAAATTGACCACCAGTTGTCAATCTCCCACGCCAAGTAAGTTTAAAAACAGTATGTAATATATTTAAAAATTTTTGTCAAGTATGATAAAAGGACTGTATTTTTAAAAATTGTTAACTACATATACTGAAGTACTTATGGGTGAAATCGTATGTCTCAGAATTACTTTTATGTGTCAACAACTGCTAGAGGTGGGTGATTAGTACAGTACTTGAGAGTTCATTATATTATTTTTACTGTTTAAATTTTCTATAATGAAGTTTCAAAAAAGTTTGAAAATTACTTTAGTTAACAAACTCAGAAAAGAAATTTCAATCTAGCTGAACTACTTCTCAATCAAAGTACCTAAATAAACAAAAGAATAATAGGCCACAGGTACAAAATGATACTAAAAATGTGTGTTCAAATCTTTATTTAAATCATTGCATTTTTTCTTTTTTTGAGATGGGGTATCATGCTGCTCAGGCTGCTGTGGGCTCAAACAATCCTGCCTCAGCCTGCAAAGCAGCAGGGTTTACAGGCATGTGTCACCATGCTTGGTTTCATGTACTATGTATGAGCAAAAATCTTTTAACTGGGATTGTTGTGAATTTAAATCACTGTTTACAGGGGCTAGGGGTGTAGCTCAGTGGCACAACGCCTGCCTGGCAAGCGCAAGGTCATGAGTTCAATTCCCAGTACTGGAAAAAAACAAACAAACAAAAAATAAATCACTGCTTACAGATCAAGATTTTTAAGAAATAAAGTAATATTGTATATACATTCCCAGGCTACACTTGCCTGTCTCTTTCATCAGAGTGAACGAAAAGCCTATGAACCATGATCATGACAACAGAGAGAAGCAACTGCAAAATATTTTGATGTTACTGAAAACTGAAAATGGACAGTCTGATATTTATGACATGTAACATTAGTACTAAGCATGAATAAGTTAAAAATGAATATTTTAATCAAAATCTGGAGGTAAGATCAAGGCTTAATTTTAGAATGATAAGAATTAAAGATTAAGGAGAAAAGAGTGGAATAAGATCCAAAGTTTCACTTCTTTTTAAACTTATTATTCGGGTAACTGTACGCTGACTACGAATAGGAAATTATATAACAAGTTACGGATAGAAAATAAATGCTAACTATAATTAGTCACAATATAGAAATACTAACACAAAAGCTATTTACTTTAACCAATCAAATTAATCTGAAGGAATTATGAAGTTTGGGACGCTACAGACAGAGATACAAAATAGCCATAATCAAGCTGGGCATGGTGGCATCTCCCACCCTACCATTCTGCGAGTTGAGAAAAGATCCTAAGTTTGAACCCAGCCTGGGCAATTTGGAGAGACCCTAATCTCAAACACAACACAACACAACACAATATAGCAACAAGCTGGGAAATGTAGCTCAGTGCAAAGGCCCTGGGCTCAATCTCCAGAACCACAACAAAAGGCATATTCACTTATTTAGCAATTCTGAGACTCAGAGGAAATATTTCAAAATACAAAAAAAGAAATTGATATGCTGATGGCAACTTAAAGTAAAATTTAATGTTTGCTAATAAAAGCCATTGAAATTAGGAGATATGAAAATTTATAAAATGGAAAAAAGCTTAGGTGGGGGCATGGTAAGTTGGAAAAGCAGAAAAAATTGCTAAGTCTATACCAAAAAGTTAGCCGGGAATATAGCTCAGCAGCACAGTGCCTGCCTGGCAAGCACAAGGTCCTGAGTTTGATTCCCAGTACAAAGAAAACTGGGAAATGGAAGAAACTTTTTAAAAAGAAAGAGAAACTAGGATAGAGGAAAGTAGAAAAAAAAAAAAAGAAAAAGAAATTATATATATATAAAAATACCAAAAAGTTCAAACCCAATCCACTTAATTGTGTTTGACAGCATACCCTAGCTTCAAGAAAATAACCACGACAAAAGTATTCTTGAATGTTAAAATTCCAAAGTTAAACAACAAATCAATGACAGTAAGAGTTATAATTGTACAACTGTTTATAATAATTTCCTAGCTTAAAACCATACATAAGATGCATGTGTATACACAGCTGTTAAACACCATACTTACACATAAAAACAAAGTAAAATATCAGGATATACTGTACTTCAAAGAGTACTTCAAAGAGTCAAAAGTTTAGAAACTTTCCCAAATCAAATGGAAAATACATTATTATTCATATTTAGGCTAATTTTAAGTATGCAATTCATTTTTGACAAACCTATTGCTCTAATGGAAACTTCATCGAGTTTGTGGTCTCCGGTTGCTCCAGGTCTAAAGAATGTTACACTTCCTTTACAGTAATTAAGTAAGGACTGGGGGAAAGGACTCAGCAAAGGAAGGGACCCTTTCATTCGAATCTGAAAGGAAAGAATGACAGAATATATTAATCATCATTAGTATAAATAATTTCTAAAGGAAACTATAAAAGAGCAAGGCAGTTGAGACAACCATACAGAATGAAAACCATAGCACAGCTCCTCTACCAGTCTAGAGAAATAGCCCTGAAATAAGCTGTACTTTTAGAAAGCTCACAAATCTAATTCAAGAAATTCACTAGATTGTATCTCAAGAGAGAAAGAAGGTTCTAAGTCATTTATACTCTTGTCATTCAATTTTGCCTATATAAAAAAATTTCAATGTTCTTCATCCCTGACTTTCTCCACAATCATGACAAAGAAAATAAACAAATGTAAGTGCCTAAATCTTATCCAAAATAAACTATGCACCGCCTAAGAACAATTACAAAACTTGATCTATATACATAACTTAAAAAATACTAATCTATAAATAACAGAAGTAGAAAGTCATCATTTAGTAACTTCTAAAAAAAATAAGTATTTGGTAGGTTGAGCAGAACTGGACAGAGGGTGTGACATAACCCAAACTCGCTGATCAATCTCACCATCACTGAAAGTGAACAGACATGGCTGCCACATATATGGTGCAACAAGACACAGAGAAAATGTCTGAGAAAGCCTGAGCCTGAATGTAATCAAATCTCTCTACCTTGATGAGTACAGATCAATTACCCGTTTACAGGAAAATAAAAAGAACAGGTTAAATGACACTAAGTGAAGAAATGATAAAACAAATCTAGAATATGGTATAGGACAAATTACCTACCCAACAAATCAAGAATTTAAAAAATGGTTGCTACAGATGAAAGAAAAAGTATCTAAGAGACATAAACCTGGAAAGGAAGGATTAGCAGCTGGCTTGTAATCTACTTTCCCCTCTACTAGTTACCTTCCAGAAAGATGTGATCTAATCACTTTCCTTTGTAAGCATGCAAAAACAGTCTTCATGTCAAACACATTCATGGCATTGACTATCAAGGTGGTACTAGGAAGAAGGCCAGCAAGGAATAGGGGCCTCGGTCCTATAGCCCTATGAACTGAACTTGGCCAAAAACCTGAATGAAGCTGGAAATGGATATAAGCTGAAAATGGATGTTTCCCTAGAGCCACTTAGGGAAATGCAATGTTGCTACTACCCCGACTGGCCTTGTAAGACTCAGCCAGACCCAGCTGAACTAACAGACTTCTAATGCACAGATAATAAACAGATATTGTGATTTTTAAGGGTTTTTCTTTTGGGGTGGGGGACAGGGTCTTGCTGTGCAGTTCAGACTGATCTTGAACTCACTATGTAGCCCTGGCTGGCCTCGAACTCGAGACTCAGCCTCCTGAATACTGAGATTACAAGTGTGCGCCACTATGACCAGCAGGTGTTGTTTTAAGAATGGGTGTTGTTATAAAGAGCTAAATTTGTGGTAGTTAGTACAGAAGACTAATCTGTGCAAAATCTTTTTTTTAGTATTTTTCATTGGGACAAAATTCAAATGCCATAAAATCCACCTCTTAAAAATATAAAATTCACTGGGTTTGGTGGCAAATACCATTAATTCCAGCACCTTAGGAGTTTGAGGCAGGAAGATCACAAGTTGGAGCCTAATTTGGGCAACACAGCAACTTAGGGAGATCCTTCCTCAAATAAAAAATTGAAAAAGGTCTGGGGTTAGCCTAGTGTGAAGGCTCTGGTTTCAATCCTCAGTAGTGCAAAATAATAAATGAACAAATGTACAGTTCAGTGGTTTTGGTACATTCACAGTCAGCCAACCACTATCACTGTCTACTGCCATGACATTTTTACTACTCTAACAGGAAAACCATTAGTAGTCCCTGCTCATTTCCCTCCTCTCCAGCCACTGGCAACCACTAATCTACTTTTCGTCTCCATTGTGATGATGTAGATATAGAATAAGTATGATTTTATGTTTTTATGGGAACTGTATGTAAATTTCACAAACCTTTTGCTCAAAAATGGGCTAATTTTCAAAAATACCTGGTAAGACAGGACTGGATAAGGAAACATATTGAATGTTCCATGCAGATGGAGTGTAAGAATGCAGACACAGCTCATGGGAAGTCAGTATGAAGGGGGATGACAGCTGCAGAAACAAACTGAACTGCTCTCAGAAGATAGCAAAAGGGACAGCCAAGCTGGTGGAGGCACCTGATAGGAAACAGCCAAGAACTTTCCATTCCCTGAACCCAGTGAAGTCCCCACACAACAGAGATTACACCTCAGGAAGTAGGGGAGAGTGGGAAACCGAGTTTAATCTTAATGATTGTGAGGGAAGAAAGTAAATGTAATTCCTAGGAATTAACTGACTAAATTACACTGTCTACAGCCAGAGACGATGGGACCAACCTAGAGACTCAGCTTGAACTCCTTATCAGCAGAAACAACCCACTCTCTCTAGGTTGCTTATGGTAAATTGGCATGAAATTCATGGGTTCAAAGGGTAGGACTCCTTGGAAGTGCTACTGAAGTATACATAGTGGTGTATTTCAGTTACTTCACACAACACAGGAATGATCTAGACATCTACATACCTTCTGCATGACTTTTCTTGCCCACCTCAGCTGCAAGATGTACCACTGTGCTACAGGAAAAGAACAGCGAGCTGCCCGCAGAAGCAAAAGAATACGCTGAAGGATTCCAGACACCTTTTGACGATTATTTTTTTCAGCTTCTAAAAGAAGATCATCACCATCTTCCTGAGGACAGTAAGATATTCAATTTTAGTGGCAACAAGGAAATTTGAAATGTTAACATGAAAATAAAGACAGAAAAATGGTATCAGTGCTTCTCAAACTAAAATGCTCCTGGAGACAGGAAATTTTGAGGTACAGTCTCTGACATTTCAATTAAGGCTATTCCTGGTGCTGAAGAAATAATTCTCTCCCCTCACACAGTGCACAGGGCTCAGTGGACCACTACTGTGGACTCCTAGGAGACTGTCACAGGAGAGGCTCTTCCCTTTCTTCTGCTTGGAAAATCCTCCCCCCTCATTTCAGGGTCCCCTCCTTGTGGAGGCCTCCTCATTAATGCTTACAGGACTTTGCTTGTACTTTCATTGGAGCATTTATCAATTTATCCTATACTGATTTATGCATCGGTTTCCCACAGTAATGAGAACTCAAAGAACATGTCATTGATCTTTGCATTATCATATGGCACAGAATAAGGTCTAGCATGTAGTAGGGTCCACTATATGTTTGTTGAATAAATGTTATTCAAACCAGTGAAGATTGTTTTCACAGAGAATGAGAGAATGTGTTATAAATATTTGCTTTTCTAACATCCTTCTTCTGTTCCTCCTTTTTTTTTTTTTTTTTTTGTTCCTCCTTATTAACAGTTCTCAATTTTTTCTTGGCTATCTTGCCCCTTTCCTATATAGCCCATATGACTCAGAAAGCTGATCCATATCCTAGCTTCAGCAAGGGTTTTAATTGAGTGCCAGCCCTAGCCAGATACCTCACTAAAGCACAGTCATATGAGCTAAGCCTGTTACCATGAACCTCAGTATGGGATGCTAGCAGAGAAATAATTCTATTTTTCTTTCTCTCCATCCTTCTCCTAGTAGACACAGAAGGGGTACCCTTAAAAGCTGCTGGCAGTGTCCTGTTCACACAAAGGAGCTGACACCTTAGAGAAACACTGGTGACAAAGAGCCCAGCTTTCCACTACATAACTAAGTCAGAAGCCTATCCCTCCAATGGACTTCTCAATTATCTGAGCCAAAAAAGCCTTCACTGTTTCAGCCACTGTGACCGAGTTTTCTATCATCTACAACACAAGGAGTTCTAATTGATAGAGTGACAATAGGATAAATCCTACCACTCGGGATTACTATGATAAAAAACGAGTACAATAGTAACCACATTCTAGTATCAGCATAAGATACCCGAAAGTACCTTACTTGCTGTTTCTACTTTCTAAACCATTGTACTGATGACTCACATGTGAGGGGAAAGATGAATTACTTAGAAGTGCCAAAAATGATTCACTCCTTCCATTTGTAATATATTTGTAATATCAGTGAGTGACATATTTTAATGTAGTGAAATGTAACTCTAAAATAACAACTGAAGTACAGAAAAAACTAGATGCAGGTAGCAGTAATACTGAAACTAAAAGTAGTAAAATAATTGGAACTGCTTTACAATAGTACATATTTCAAAAATCTAAATATAAATACAGTAACAATTCAAATATTAAAACCAAGCAGCTGTAAGGTTAACAGACTTGTGAGTTCCATCATGTGATTGTGATGTGATATTGTACTGTACTGTATTGTACTATATTTCATTTCATTTCATTTCATTTTATTTTAGAGACAAGGACTCACTAAATTGCCCAGACTGGCATGGAACTTGAAATTGTCCTGTCTCAGCCTAGGTTAACAGTTTTTAATAACGGCAGAGGAAAAGCTCCTGAGAGAAATATAGCATCACTATTTATAAGTCAGAGCTATCAACTGAAGAGTGAACAAGACAAAAATGTGAAACAGAAAAACCAAATTAAAACAAAAATAAGTCCTTCAAGATAGGCAAAGACAAAGGCAAAAAAAAAGGAAAAGGCTAACAGGTGACTCAAAGAAGTCAAAGAATGGAGGATTTCTAATTCTCTCACTGATTATATCATTTATTACCCTTAAAAAGGCCTATTTTTTAAAAGTCAATGTTGAGAAATTTCTCATAATTTTGCTTTATTACTATAATAATTTTAACATTTATTGAATACTTACGTGTCCCAGGTCCTGAGCTAAAAGTTTTTACAGAATATCTCATTTAACCCCCATAACAACGCTATTATCACCTGTATTTTACAGATAAAATTTAAATAGCAGTCAGTAAATTACCCAAGACTACACAGTTAGTAGCCAGCCAAGCTGGGATTGAGAAACTTGTCTTCAGAGCTTGTGTTTTTAATCTGATAATTATCACCAAAATGGTCATTTTTCAAATTAGACAAATTCAACTTTAATTAAGACAATAATGGGCTAAGCTTACTTCACTAAGAACAGCTGGCTGGGGACAGTATAACGGAGGAGCTGGAAGATACAAGTGGACAGGCACTAAGCCCCACAGGCTCTTACTGAAGTCCTTGGCCGAGTCCATCAGAAGCTGAAGCGTCTCTGTGACAATATCTGCATCAGCCATAGCTGATGCTTTCAGTATTTCTTGCACTGAACTAAACAGTAGATTTGCATCTTCCTCTTCAATAGGATCTATCAAACACAACATTTGGCAAAACAGTTAAATTTACACTAAACTTCCTATCCTAGTTTGTAAATCTAAAAAAGTAAACTATTAAAAATAAACACGCAGGGCATGGTAGCACACACTTATCATCCCTGTAAGCAGATTGCTGTGAGTTTGAGGCCAGCCTGGGATACATAGTGAGTTCAAGGCCAGCCTGAACTACATAGCAAGACCCTGTATTTAAAAAAAAAAAAAAAAAAAAGAATGGCTATATTGTTCAACATGCAAAATATCCAAGCTTATGAACAAAAATTTATGAATCATCCTGTTATTTTAAAGGGTCAGAGCATGAAGTCTTTTCCAGCACTATCAAGATACTGTAGTAAGAATTGCACAATAAAAATATTCATCACATGTAGTCCTGAGTCAAAAAGGTAGTATAATAATAACAATTGAAAAAAATATTAATGGGAAAAAGAATATCAAGAAAGACATCAGGATATGTAAAATTATGTGAAAGCAGTGTGTTATGGTTTATGTCTGTGTGTCCCCCCAAACCCTCATGGGGCCATGGGGCAGGCTATTAGAGTTTGAATATGGGTGTGAGAGCTGCACCCGCCTGGGAGTAAATAGTTTACAGATGTAAGGGAGAGGAAGAGAGTGCTTGAGGCCATTCCTCCCTGATTCCGCCCTGGTGTGGGCTTGTGGCTTAGCTGTGCTGTGTTCTGCCACCCTGAGCTGTAGCTCTCTGCCATGTGCCAGTCTGCCTTGTAATCTGCCAAGTATGGACTAAAACCTCCACAAACTGTAAGCAAAATAAACCTTTCCTTCCTTAAATTTGGGCGTCAGATATTTTGTCCCAGCAACAAGAAAAAAGTAACCAAGACACAGTGAGAGAGTAATTTTTTTGTAAGTTTATGAAAAAATTTTCAAAATTTAATAAAAGTTACTTATGAAGTAAAAAAAAAAAACCAAAATACAACAGGCATATGTATAGTACGGCTTCAACTATGAAAATATTTTATATATAAGGGTTTGTCCCAGAAGGCAAAGTACAAGGAGATACACTGAGTAGAACTGGGCAGGAGGGTTTTTTTATATTATGAAATATTTTAAGTGAGTGTTCAACAGGAGAAATATGCTCAATGTTAACATTTTGTTGTTCAATTTATTTTTCAAATAAAACATTATATAAACAGCTGAGTTTCCTTGAGCACCAATCATGTTCTACTCCCTGTCTTCTGCAGAGGTAGCCACTATCCAGAATTTAGCTCAGACAGACTGGAATTCCTATTAGATATATGTGTGTCTTTCTGTTCTATATGCCACAAAGTATAATTTCTCTTTCATATTTTTCAAATCTTGGTATCTCTGTGTATATTTTGTATATATTTATCTACATATATTTTATGTCTCTGATTTGCTTTTCAGTCCACTGAGATAGTTATCATTATACTGGTCTACTAACTTACGCTACAGAAGTGGACTCATATAATATATAGTCTTTCTGTTTGACTTCCTCCATTTAGTATGATACTGTAACATCTTCTAAGTAGCCTGTTTCTCTTCATTACTTACTATACCATTTTATAGAAATACTGCAATGTTTTTCCATTCACTAGCTAATGGACATTTGGGCTATTTCTAATTTTTGGCCATTATGAAAAGGCTGCTATAAACATTATGTACAGACTTTTGGGTGGACTTATATTTCATTTTTCTTGAGTAAATACCTAAGAGTGGAATCCTTTATATTTTCTCTTTGTTTCAGACCTCTGGCAATTTCCCCTTACTTTCTGAAAGACGGGTATTTAAACATATTTTTTGTATTTCATCTAGGAACACATTTTACCTGTGTATTTACTATGGGAGAGTTTTAAAATCATACAGAGTAACACAGATCCAATACCAAGAATTCAGATAAGGGTTTCTGTTTGTTTTGTTTTTTGTTTCTTAGCTAAAATTTTGCTATGCTGATCGGCTACACTGAGACTCCTAGGCTCAAATGATCCTCTACTTTGCCCTCCCCCAAGGAGCTGGTACAGCAGGACTGCATCACCACTCCCAGTTCCAGACAGATTAGGGACTTTTTCAGTCCTTTTTGTCAAATATAGCTTTTATATAGTAACATTATCATTTTATTAACTTAAAAAAGCTGAAAAGTAGGGGCTGGGGATTTAGCTCAGGGGCACAGCACTTGCCTGGAAAGTGCAAGGTTGTGAATTCGATTCCTGGTACCCAAAGAAAAACAAAACAAACAAAAAAATTTTTTAAAAAAGCTCAAATTAAAGAAAACTTAACAGATTTCTAAGTGTTATAGGTTCTCTCAAGAAAGAAAAGTTGTTTTAGGAATCTAGATTTACAAGTCTTATTCCTTAAAGAAATAAAGGTCTAAGAAAAAGAAAGTGCCCCACTGTTGTCCTGATTTTATTGTTAAATGTATGACTTCAAAGGATTTCATACTTTTTCTCTAAATAACTCCATTTGTAAAACGAATTTTTTACCATTCCTGCACAAGTCTACATAGTACATGCAATTATACTTTTAATTTTGTAATACCACTTTAATCTAGTCTAATAACTTTAAGCATCTATTTAGTTTTCAATGTTTCCAAATTTATTTATTTATTTATTTATTTATTGGTTTTTCTCCGGTACCGGGAACCGAACTCACGACCTTGCACTTGCCAGGCAGGCGCTTTTGCCGCTGAGCTAAATCCCCAGCCCCTCAATGTTTCCAAATTTAAAAAAAAATCTAGGTTGTGTGTAACTAAGTTTTTTACCTAGCATGCAAAAGACCCTAGATTTTATCCATATAACACAAACACAAGTGAATCTATGAAATATATATTTATATATTTGATGAAAGTTTAATTGAATCACGTGCAGGTTTAAGATTCTATTATTCTATGAGTGCAAAAGAAAATGATCCCAGTGCAGCAAAATTAAATTTAGTATAAGCCAGTTATGGTAGTGGATGCCTTTAGTTCTTGCTACGCAGGAGGCTGAGGCAGGAGATAACGTAAGTCCATGCCCAGCCTGGGCTACATAATGAGAACCCATTTTAAAGAAAAACCAATTAATATAAAGGTATGCCTTTATATTAACATAACAAGAACCCATTTTAGAGAGCTGTTTTTTTATTTTTAAATTTTTTTTGGTACCAGGAATTGAACTCACAACCTTGCGCTTACCAGGTAGGCACTGTGCCACTGAGCTATACCCCCAGCTAAGAACCCATTTTAAAGAAAAACAAATTAATATAAAAGTATGTACTGAAAACCTAAAAATCAGTCCCAGTTATTAATCCTTATGTTTTGAGCTGGCATCAGTTTTAGACGTTCCCATACTTGACTGTATATATCATCCTTATATTTTTGATAAATTTATTTCAAAATGACATTTATATGCTTTTTATAATAAAGGCTCATATTAACCTGATATGTATGTCAGAGCATACATAGGTAACACACCTGTAAATTGTTTATATTTTGAGCCCATTTCATTTTTTGCTTCCAACGAGGCTGGCTGACCTAAAAAACACTGCAATTTTTCCTGGAAAATCTGTGCTGGAGTCATATTTAATGGCAGATTCAGATCCCTTTTCTTGGACCTGAAATGACATCAAATTAAGGGAAATGAATCTAAAAACAATTTTTTAAGGAAAGATTTTACACATCAAGAACAAAACATGAAAATTTAAGAAGCATTAGAATTCATTTGTCTTTATTTACCCTACATTTAAAAAGGAAACACAGGATTAAGGCCCTCCCTGATTATGCCAGCCTAATACCCCTGCCCTTTCATGGGATTGAATCGAGTACTTTTTCACTAAGCTACCCCTGCAGCCCCTTTTTTTGAGACAGGGTCTCACTAAGTTGCTAAAGCTGAGCTTGAACCTGAAATCCTCTTGCCTTGGACTCACAGAGTGCTAGAATCTCAGGTATGTGCCAGGCATATTTTTCCATTTTTATTTCCTACTGCTGCCCTACATACATAGTGTCCAAACTGAACCAAAACTGTTTTTGCCAAGTATTTTTGCTCATGCTTAGAATGTTCTCTCTCTCAATTGTTACTCAATTTGTCAAGATCCTGTCTACCTTGGGGCTGGGGATTTAGCTCAGCGGCAAAAGCACCTGCCTGGCAAGTGCAAGGTCGTGAGTTCGGTTCCCGGTACCGGAGAAAAACCAAAAAAAAAAAAAAAAAAAAAAAAAAGATCCTGTCTACCCTTTACTGCCCATCTCAAATAACATCTACATAATATATTTATTTCTTGCCTTTCCTCCAGTTGATGTTATCATTCTCCCCACTATACCAGACACTTATCATACTATATAAATTATAATAACGTTTTGTCCTCTTTTCTCTATTAAAGTATAAGTAACTTAAGCATAGAAACTATGTGACATTTAAGTTTTATCCACTAAAATACCTTACATACAGCTTTGTAGAGAGCAGCTACTTAATAAATATACACTGAACTACTGAAATTTAAGAAGATGTAAGAGACACAGCAGTGTCATGATATTCAGAAAAATATCAGAGATTTGTTTAACTGGCAAAAAGCTCAAATCCTATTTGGGACAAATTCTCTCATGGACTATATGCCCCATGACAGCATTACTAAATAAATGTTTCAACACAAATCAGTAAGACATTAAGCCACTCAACATAGTAATCACTGCTTTAAATAGCATGTGACTAAGTTTTGTTGAAATTAGGTTAAAAATTCAACTCCTTGGTCTCATCAACCACATTTCAAATGCCTGACAGTTGCTTGTGGCTAGTGGCTATGACAGTGGAGAGCAGGCACATGGCAGATGTGTATCACTGAAGAAAGTCCCTTTGATAATACTGAACTAAGAATTCCACAGATGTAAATACCAAGAATAAGAGGAACAGACACAATTCAGATGACACTGTTATGCTACATTTAAAACACATACCTCACGGAGTTGCTATCATGTTTACAGAACAGCTGGAAAGCCACACCAATTGAAACAGATGTCTTCCAGTCTCCAAGTTTATGGGCCAACCACACAGCCTCTGGAACAAGGCCACCAATAAATAATAATTCAAGGGCATATTCAACTGTCCACACATGAGAGAGATTCTGATCTCTCACAACACAGGCCACCTTAGAGTGTTGCAGAGGAATAAATCGAAGGGAATGCTCTGTGAGAAAATTATAGAAAATGAGTATTACAATTACATACATATATCCAAACTCATGCCTCCTCACATGTCTCAAACACATCCAGCTTGTTCTCGCCAAGGCACCTTCGCACAAGCTCCAGTTAGGGTGCTCTATGTCCTCATGTGTCCATGGTTGACACTTTTCTGTTATAATTCCTCTTAAACTTAACATCCTCAGAGTGCTCCTCCCTAAATTCCCAGTCTGAACTCACTGTGTTTTGGGTTTTTGTTTTGTTGAACTTAGGAATCAAATTCAGGGCCTGTGATATGCTATGTGCCCTACCACTCAGCTACACCTCCAGGCTTTAAACTCACAGCATAGACAACTTAGTGATATAGTAAGACCCTATCTCAAAAATAGAAAAGTAAAAAAGGGTTGCGGATGTAGCTCAGTGTGAAGGCACTGGGTTTAATACCCAGTACCAAAACTAAATGTCCCACAACATTTTATAAATATTAATTTGCCCAAAATTTGTGAAAGTTTATGTTCAATAAAAACAAACTACCTTTCTAAGATTCTAGTTGTCCATAAATAGTCCTTCAGCATCTGCTGCTATCAGGTGCTATGCAAGCATGGTGCTATTAGTAATGATCTTTATGTATTATGGTTTTACATGTTATGTGCCCAGAAAGGCGAGAAAATTATTCATTTACCATATTACCTGCTTTAACATGAAGTGGAGGAAGAACACTGACACTATGAGGTGGTAAAACGCAAAGCGGCTGATTGGTGAAATAGGCGGCCATGAAACGAGCCATGGACTGGACAACGCTGACTGCAGCCTCAGGATGGACGTTCCCAGTCCCTGCAGACTCACCAGGAGACTTCTCAGCATCTAAGGAAGACGGCAATGACTGAAGGAGATTCTGATCAAATTGTCGAAAGCTAGTAATACTTAAGTCGATTATATAAGAAGAAAATTATAATTACAATTTTTTTCCGAGATGAGCACCCACGGCCTATCTAAGCTAAGTTCTGATAGGCATCCATACTTCTTAAAGACAGTAAAAATTATTAGTTCATAATTATAAGCACACATGCTTAGGAAGTGTTCAGCTTTCACAGTACCCATTTTATGTATGTATGTATGTTTCTTTTAGGATGGGGTCTCCCTATGTAGTCCAGGCTGGCCTCAAGCTCACGGCAATCCTCCTGCCTCAGCCTCTAAAGTGCTGGGATTACAAGCATGGGTCACCATGCCCAGCTAATAGTTTCATTTTTAAAATCAATGAATCTCTATAAAATAATCTAGACACGATGGACTTGTAAGCTCAGCATTTCCATTTCATTATTCTCTTTTTCCTCTTGTTCGTTGGTTTTTGTTTTTTTGGATAAGGGGGTAGCGTTTACTATAAAGATTATCTAAAAAGCACAAAACCAGCAATTCTTAGTGTTGTTTCTATACCATTAAATCTGAGAATTAGTTGTAATGGGTCACTAGTATTACATTCTTTTAGCAGTAGTGAAAAGACTGCATAAAGTGAAAAGAACAAGGGGAGCTGGTGGTAAAGTTAACTTACATCAAAATTTCTCAGGTCCAGCTCAAGGGTAGCTCAGTGGTAGAGCATGCGCTGAGAAACTACAAAGCCCTGGGTTCAATCTCCAGTACCAGAAGAGAAGCCTCAGAGGTAATTTTGAACATGCTGCAATGATGTTAATAATGGAAACTTTATATAACAAAAATGAAATTATAACCACAACGATTTAATAAAGGTAGGTATGCAGAAAAGAGTTAACAGGCTTCCTGCTTGAAATCCCTATATATAGTTACTTATATGGTTGTCCTTCCTTGGTACCTGGGATCTTGGCTTTTGGAGAGATTTCTACGATGCTAAGAATGGCTCAGTGGGCCTACACTGTTTGCAAAAACAATGTGTTTTATGCTGAACACTTGTTTTACCTCTGGGAGTATGGGTCTTTGTTATGTGCTCTGCACAAGGGAGCTGTGTCATCAGCCACCAATTAAAACCCTGAGCACAGAGTCTCTAATGAGATCCCCAGCAGACAACATCTCACATGTGCTGTCAAAGCTCATCACTGGGGAATCAGGGACTTCCTGTGTGAGTCTACTGGGAGAGGACTCCTGAAAGCTTCTCACTGGCTTCCTCCAGGCCTCACCCCATGTCCCTTTTTCCTCTGCCGACTTTGCATTAAGTCCTTTCATCATATCAATTACAGCTTCGGGTATGACCGCATGTTGAGTCGTGTGAGTCCTAGTGACTTGCCAAACTTGGGGAGTAGTCTTGGGGACTCTTCACCTAATAAGTATATGCTTAATATATCTTAAATAAGCGCCATTAAAAATTAAAACAAATGAATTACTATACATTCAACTTATTCTGAAAGCTAAATCATTGTGAAGATACTCATGAAAAAATGATATCTATTTAAAAAGTCATACACAAACGTCTTTCACTCACACACAGCTAATTAATCTTTTGGAGGGCAACCTGAGAACAGAAATTAAAAGTCTTAAAATGTCAATATTTTGATTTAGTGAAATCTTTTCTAGGAATTTACTCTAAAAATGTTATAATGCTAACAAATATTTACGTACACTGAAGCATTCTTTAAAACAATATATGGCTATAGCTTAAAATGTGAAATAATGAGAAAAAGTTTCAATAGATACTTTCGTAAGAGTATTTTTAAAAGAACATTTATTGACGTTGAAAAATACTCATATTAAATTTAAGATGATTATAAAACAAAAGGGGGAGGATTATAAAACAGAATAGCTCTCAAGGTTATATATGTATGTGTATGTGTGTGTCTCTATATATGTATACATATATACATATATAGAGACACACACATACACATACATATATGTGCCCTGGGCAAAAAAGTAGTACACTTACAAGTGATTTTATTATCAAAATTGTCTAAAATGAACTGTACTATTCCATAATGAATGCTAAAATTTAAAAAGCTATGGTGCTGGAGTATAAGCTCAGTGGGGAAAGCATTTGTCTAGCATTACAGGGCCATGAGTTCAATACCAAGCATCACTAAAATAGTAATAATAAGAAGAAAAAGATTGGGATTCCATACAAAAAATGCTGTGGACTTCATTTAAAAAGTTCTGATACATTAAAAAATTATGTGACAGATGTGATACTTATATACCAATTTTCATGATTAATGTATCACAAACATTTAAGAAAAGCATTCTGTTACACTGGGCCTTTCAGACACATTTATACGTACAGTGTGTATACTAGCCTAGCACCTTATAATTACTATAAATACATTAAGTGCTCATTCATATATATATATCTTTCTCTCACTCTGATTCATTTAAATATATCTTTCAGAAAAAAGGCAATCCAGATACTCTACCTTTTAAAACAGATTTTGAAAAGACTCGAAATACCTCATAAAGTGCTTTTTATGACTGTCCTATATCACGGTAAACAACATTTGAAGGAATTACAAATATATTAAGAAAAGATTATGAGTGTGAGATGTTATGTCTAAACAAACAGTTACGTGACAAAATTGTTATCTAAGTTTAGCAGCAATTACTGCTAAAACCTGTAAGATTAAAATAGGCAAAACAAAATCTAAAAACTCAACATGACCCCTGCTATTAACAGTCCAAAACCTATGTAATATAATTTATGTACCATAGAGGCTGAGCAACCAACTTTTAGATATAAGCAATTACTTCTATAAACCCATGAACACAATTAACAAGAATATATACACTGAGTTCTAAAAAGCATACCTAAATAATCTCCATTTTCTTTTACAGGCAATTGGGACCATCTCAGTATTTCTCTTACCAGCTGATCACATAATCCTTGAGCATCATTTAAATTGTAGTTATAGAGATGGCAGTACAAGAGAGAAAGATAATAGCGTATTTGAAGAATACAAGTTCTCCTTCCTCCTGAAACCAGAAAGAATTAAACTCACTTTAAGTGCTCTTTGGTTAGTGTTGGCGAAAAGTGTGCAACTTAAGAAAACTCATCAAGTTGTAAACTTTTTTATATGTTTTATACCTCAATAAAATGTTTTTTAAAAACAGGTCAGCAATATCTTGTTTTCATTTTAAACTCTGAACAATTTTATTTTCTTTTTTTAGTCCTTAGGATGACTAAAATTTTATCTAAAGAGACCTGCAAATTCTAATCATTTCAGCACTCAGGTCCACTAATGACTTCTATGTCAAATACAGATGATATTAAATGGAAGTGAACATGCCACAATATGCCTGGAGAATCATTCACATATCAAAAAGATGGTTAATAGTTCAACAGGAAAGGAGCCCCTAACAACTGCCTTCAAATATTTGTTTAGGACTGAGACTGCTGGCTGCCTCTTATCCATTCTTACAGAGTAAAGAATTTTAATTTTACTTTGGGCTACAATCCATGAAGATCATAATTTCTCACTAGATGTAATCATGAGCCGAGTCAAAATATTGCACAGAACTTTCAGAAAAAACTGCTAAGGAGATGTAATTCAGCTAGAAAGTACAGTACACCCTTTCTTGCCCTAATCACTCTACTCCTGTCTGCTGTCTAGAACATGGATGTGATAGTTGGACCTTCAGCAGTCATTTTAGACCATATAATGGCCTTACTTTTGGAACCAACATACTAAGGACAATACAGCAGCAAAACTAAAGTACCATGTGTCTTTGCTGATACCATGGAACACCAAATCAGCCCTAGTCCGGCTTCCTTCCGTAAGAAATAGAAATAAACCTTATGAAGCCACTGCCACTTTTAGTCTCCATTACATGAAGTTATTCCTAATGGATACAGTTATAAATAAAATTAAGTAAAATGTCCACAATGGAACTTGTTATAAAAATCTGTTTCTAGTGTTGGGCATGGTGGCACATGCTTGTAATTCTAGCATCTAGGATGCTGAGGCAGGAAGACTGCTGCAATTTCAAGGCCAACCTGGGCTACAAAGTGAGTTCAAGGCCAGCCTGAATTGCATAGTGAAACTCTTATCTCAAAAAAAAGACAAATAAATAAATAAATAAATTTGAAAAGATAAATAAATAAAATAAATTTGAAAAATAAATAAATAAATTTGAAAAATAAACAAATTTGAAAAAGATCTTTTTCTTCATTCAGAACTTTCCATCTCACGGAATGACAGTTGGATAATTCCCATATCTGAGAACTACATTACACTGTTTTAAACAAATCTACTAAGTCACAAATCCATTTGATCAAACTTACTAAATACCCATCTAATGTGACATCTAATTCATGACCCTTGACTTGACATTGCTTTGTTTCACAGTCTCCACATCTGACTAATTTTCTCGCTTCTGAGTAAAACCCACATCCTTATACCATGGTCCTGCAATTAACCCTCCACACTGTATCGAAGTGACCTTTCCAAATGGCCTATACAGATGTTTCTTGACTTACAATATGGCTGCATCCCAATTAACACATTTCTGCTACCTTGAAGCTCCAGTGGTACATGTGTGACTATTCCACTGAATGGCAGAGTGGTACAGTCATGCACACACTACTGGTCGTTCAAGCTTTCTGGCAGTGAAAAATATGAATTACAGCCCTGTCATCAACATGTTAACCCACTGTTAGTAGAAAATATCATAATCTGAAAATGAAATTAATGTACTAAACATCATAGCTTTGCAACACAGTACAACATACAGTATCAACTATTTGTCCTTACAATTGTGTGGCTGACTGGGAGCTATGAGGCACTGCCACTGCCCACATCACGAGAGAGTACTATGTATCACACACACTATACTGCCAGCCCAGGAAAAGATCAATGTGCAAAATTCAAAATATGATTTCTACTAAATGCTTATTGCTTTCACCCCATCATAAGGCTGAGAAATCTTAGGTCAAACCATCATTAAGTTGGGGACCTTCTATATTTATTTGTTTTTTGTTTTTTTTTTTTTTTTGGTTTTTCTCCCGTACCGGGAACCGAACTCACGACCTTGCGCTTGCCAGGCAGGCACTTTGCTGCTGAGCTAAATCCCCAGCCCAAAATTTTTAAGGTAGAGAAGAAGAACAAACCAGTGATTTTTCTTTTTCTTCTACCCTAGATTTATCCAAGTTTTTCTTTTTTTTTTTTTTTTTTGGTTTTTCTCCGGTACCGGGAACCGAACTCATGACCTTGCGCTTGCCAGGCAGGCGCTTTTGCCACTGAGCTAAATCCCCAGCCTCTATATTTATTTGAATAGATGCCTTTCCTACCTGGCACTCTATATAAGACCTTTCATTTTCTGTTCTCTATCCCCATCACACTAGCCTCCCACCAATATCACATACCTATGTCATTTAACCTAGTCCTACTAAAGTATATGCAGTACATCAAAATGGCATGGTTTCTCAGGCTTTTTATTTTTGGAATGCTACATCCTCTGTTAAACCACTAGCACTGCCTTAACTGATCAATTTCTACTTCATTTTAAATGTCCATTCCTCTAGGCTTTCCCTAAATTGTGTTTGCGCCTCAGTCTCAGACTGTGTGGAGGGCTCTTCTGAGTGCCCAAGCATCCACCATATAATACAAGGGTGACTGTAGACAACTTGAAGGTAAAGTTGTTTGTTTCAGTTATCATTAGCACCCAGAACAGTGCTGGACATACAACTGCCACCCAATAAATACTGATTTAAGTAGATGAATAAATAAAGCATACAAAGCTATAGCAGCCGAAAAATAAATATACTACTTGGCCCAATCTGACATGGAGTCAGAGTTAGTGCCAGGTCATTAGCTGAGAACCTCTTGTCATCTCAGCCACATCTCAGCCCTGTAACTTACATGTCACCAGTTTTTAGACTCCACATCCCTGTATTCTAATCAAAAGCTCCATGCAGATCATACCTAACCCAATAGTATGTTCAACTAACAGGAAATCCTTAAATTACTTAAAGGCAAGAAGCCTTGGCTTCATGCTTCTCTAGGTCTGAAAGAAGATGGTGAAATATTTGATCAAGTTTCCCTTTCAATACTTACAGTTCCTCTCAATGACAAAAAAAATTATTTAGAATCAGAAATCTCATTTTTCTCCATTAATGATCAACCACAGGTTTCATCACTAACCAAAAACAAGGACAGAACGAAACTTGACTAGATCATCAAAAAAGATTCTTTGTGCCACAAATTTAAAACTAAGGATAATTTTAAATTAAGTATCTCTGACAGCCAAGTTGCCTGCATAACAAGTATTATATTTTGAGCATTGTCCTAGTATGTATTTAGATGTCCCCTTGAAGCCCTGTGGAAGGTGGCTGCATTACAGAGATATCACAGCTGACTTGCTGTTAGGAGATGGGGCCTGTTAAGAAGAGGAGGTCACTGTTGCTGTGAGCTGGAGGTTTTATCTCCCTTCTTGGCTCCTTCCTTGACTCTCTCTGCTTCCAGGCTGCCATGACAGGAGCAGCTTCTGCCAATACCCCTCTGCTGTGCTGTTGCACTTTGGGGCCAGCAAACTTTGAACTATAACTATGAGCCAAATAAACTCCTCCTTTAAATTCTGGGTGTCATGCATTGTGTCCCTGCGATGAGAAAGTGATTTAGACAAGCATTACGATGTTGTAAGCACTCTGAGCTCTGGAATTATTTTTAAGCTCTGTAGAAGAAAATCAGTTCTTAAATACCTACCACCTTTCTCTTGGGTTTCTTGAAGCACCTTCTTCCAGAGTTGAACGGCCTCCTCATATGATCCTAACAGAAAACTCTCTTCACCTAGGAAGTTTTTAACCAACAGCCATAGTTAATTACATTACTTTGTAAAACTTTACATTGTTTAACACTCAGTGGGAAAAAAACAACCATTCAGTGAGTATCTCTCAGTCAGAAATTATTTTAAAAAAGAAATCATTTCAACCCATTAAAAAACTCCAGGTAACTGATTCACTTATTCATGAAGCTAGAAATTGCTTAGAAGATACTGACCATCAAGAGATGTAAGTTCTAAGGGCTGGTTCAAGTGATCTCCAGCAATCTGTAAGTTAGCCTGTACATGACATAACAGGGACTTAACCATAGCTGCTTCATGTGTCATCTTTTCAGTTAAGTGTCTGTCACCCTCAGGAATTCTTCGACTTAATTGTGCTTGATACCATAAAATTTTTTTGTACAGTATTCTCCAGAGACCAATCAATCTGCACACAAAATTAGATAATCATCACAACAAAAATTCAATATAATATTCAATATAACTAGCAATATAACTTGGTTAGGCCTTTTATAGCCTTTTTTATGCCTATATTCTTCATTAATGTAATAACATATATAGGTCACATTTAAACGTAACACAAATTCCAGTGATCAAAAAAATTCACAATGCACAAATGTTTTAGGCACCTAAAGTCTGTTTTGGTTGCTGTTCTGAGATGGGATCTTGCTATACTGCCAGACTGACCTTGAACTCATGATCCTCCTGCCTTAGCCTCCCAAGTAGCTAGGAATTATAGATGTATTCCACCACACTCAGCTTGTGATCACTTTCTTACAGTACTTCACTAAACCAAAATCTTTTAATAATACCATGGTTATCAAGACTAAAAACATATGGATGCTGTAAAACATCTGTAATAAATCTTAAAATATTTTTAAATTGACAAATAAAAACCATATATATTTATCAGGTATAACATGATTTTTTAAAACATGCACTTAAACATTTTAAAACATAACACATGTTTTAATGCTGAGTGCTAATGGATACAGGCTTCTTTTGGGAGAGATGAAAATATCCTGGAATTAGTACTAACAGTTTCACTATAAAAACCTTGAACTGCATACCTTAAGATGGTGAACTGTGTCATACAGGAAATTTAATGGTATTTTAATAAAAGAGTTAGTTATACCTGTGACTTGACTGTTGAACCAGATTTGTTTCTTGAGGATGAATCTTGAAAGATGAGTTCCACGACCAGATTTCCTGAGAACCATGGTTTTGAAACATTTGAAAAATAGGTAACACCAACGAATCTTGTTCTGCTGTTCTACTTCCACCAGCTGATGATGAAATAAGTTCAGGTTGAAGACTGTACATGCCATTTAACTTATCAGCTACCATTCTGAGTAAATAAAAACAGGCTAAAAGTTTCTCTGAGAATAACTGACCCTTCTGTTGCTGAGTCAGCAAAAGCTTTACAGTATTTGAGGTCAGTCTTATCAAATGTCCCACGTCTTGTTTGTATCTCACATCCCAATACTGGATTGATAAACACTGCTGGAAAAGTTGAAAGATACTAAGTACCCATGCATTATGTTTTGGGGTCTTGCTTAAAAAGTGGTCAAGTTTGGGGAAAGGACAATTTACAAACTGAAGAATATAGAAAAAATGAGTGATACAAAGTACTGTATAATTTAACATTAAATTTTTTTCTGTGACATTTTTTGAAATCCCGATAGTCCATGCTGCAAGTAAATTTTTCTGGATAGAATACAGTTCTGTAATGGTTCTATCTGTCTCCTTGGTATCATCCTTTGCATGCATTGTATCAAACATAGACGCAAATTCCAATCTTCCTTCCTTGACACTGTTAAACAACGGATCATTTTTTGGGTTCCAAAAAGGCAGGAAATTCTCTGGAAAATGTGTGCCATCGTTAGTTTCTTCTGCTTCAAAACTCTAAATATAAGAGAAAAACTATACTTAATACCATTTCAGCCTTATAAGTAGAATTACTTTGGAGTTCTCAAGTTTCTCTTTAATGACAGAAAAATGAAATGCGTTTCTTAGAATAAAATCAGTGTGCAATTGTTCAAAGCAAAGAAAGCACTGATAGTAATACCTGAAAATCCGCTATTTCTTCATTTAACTTTAGTGTTTCCTGTGCCTGCAAAAATTTGGGGAAAGTGGAATCTGCAGAACTTTCATTTTCTCCATGTTTTAACAGGGTAGACCTGAGGGAATCCAGTGATCTCAATTTCAGCCCTTTGCCTTTTGGCTAGATATAAAAAGACAAGATTTGCAAGAGCAAAATTTTATCTGCAATTCTACTACAAGCAATTAAATATTCCACAGTCAACTTTGAAAACAATAAAAAGGCAAGTGCTAGGGTTTATATTTAGATGTTCCTCTAAAGCCTCAGATGATCACAGGTGGGGATTTTGGAATGTGACTGAATTATAGGGACATGACCGCTGACCTGCTGTTAAGAGGTGGGGCCTAGTCTGAGAAGCTGGGTTAGTGTGGACAGGCTTAGCTGGGACCAAGTATCTCCCTTTCCCCCTTGTTCCATTCACTCTCTCTCTGCTTCCCCACCATAATGTGAGCACCTTCTCCTCTGTGACGCCCCTCTGCCATGCTGTCCTGCCTTTGAGCCAGCAGACTGGACTGAAACCTCTACAAGCTGTGAGCCTAAATAAATCTTTCTTTAAGTTGTGGGTGTCAGGTATTGGGTCCCAGGGAGGAGAAAGTGACTAAGACAGCAAATTCTACCACTGATACCAAAAAGCACTGTACCTGAGACAGTATCACGCTTTGGCAGCATTTCTCAAGCCTCTGGGTTGAATCAAGTAGAAGTGATCGCATAAGCACTGATGGAGACAAGTTATCAAGAAATCGAAGTGTTGTGACCATGTATCCATCAGAAATAACGAGGTAGGGTAACCAAGAGTGTGCTTTTATAGAAAATCTCTGTCTCATAGGGTCACCATCAGAAGCTGATGAGTCTACAGAATTATTTGAATCTTGAAATGTAAACTGTGGTGGTCTATCGAACAAACATTAACATTCAAGAATCACTAACAGAAAGATCCTTAAAGGAAATATCATATTATGCCATAGAGAAAGTAACATAAAAGGTACAAAATGATGAGAAAGCAACTGTAAGAAACACACACAAAAATACTAAATATATTTCTATGTATATATAAGACATGAAAACATTACATTGATTTTAAAATGTTTGTATATTTTAAAATTTTTTCCTAGATTGTGGCAGATACTGTTTTTAAAGCCTATGCATGACCCATTTTAGAAACGAATTAAGGCAGTTTATTTTTATTATTAAAAATCTAAATAAGTTAATTTTCCTTCTTACCAAATATTTATATTTACTTACAGGAATATAATTATGAGCTATCAGTATATTTATTTAATGAGGACAAACAAAACAAAATGAGCAGGACGTTTAGAAAAAATAATGGTAAAATTTTATCATCTTAAAATTAAATTTGAGTGAGTTTCCACATAAATGCACATGTCTACTATTATAGTAGTATACATGATTCTGATTAGTAAATATCACTGTTTATTAAGTTTGAGGATTTACAAACATGAAGAGGGACAAATCATCAAAATATATCATAATTCCTGATTATGGAACTATTCAAACATTAATTTTTTGAATTAGTTAAGTGACTAACAGGTGACTGGTTAATCATAGAATATTTACACCACAGGAATCTTTACAACCATGAATTTTTGTTTGTTTGTTTGAGACAGGGTCTCATTATATAGTGCAGGCTGGTCTTGAACTTATGGAGATTCTCCTCTCTCAGCATCCCGAGTTCTGGGATTAGAGGTGTGCACCACTACGTCTGGCTACAACCATTAAATTATAATATCTAACATGCAGAGATATATAAGATAGATTGCTAAAGTGGCAAAATAGTACACAGCATTGTCATATCATTTATCTTTATCAAAAAAGACTACTATTGCCAAGATTAAAAATGTTGCATTTTTAAAATTTAGAAGATAACACACTAAAATGTTAATTGTTACCTCTGAGGTACTGGATTGGTACAAGTCTTTCATTTTCTATATTATTTCGTTTTGAAACATGATTTTTAAGTTTTTTTAAAAAGATGAATATTACTTTTATAATTAGAAAAAAACAATTTTTAAAGACCTTAAAATATTAATTTTAAAGGCGAATTAGAGAAAGTGAAATGGACCATAAGAAATGTAGGAAAAAGTTTCAATGCAAGAACTGACAGTTTTTCATTTGCATTACTTCTCACTGAAAACTACGTACTGTATCAGTTTTTTGCTAAGTGTAATCAAGAATATATTTGTTTCTTTTCAGTAAATGGATTAATTTTCAAAGGTCTTTTCCATTTTTTCTGCTTTAAAAATGTTTTGTGTATATATATATATTACAATAACATCAATAATGACAAACATATGAACTTATTTTATATGAGAACTGTACTTAGTGATTTAAAATTGATCTTCATTCCTTCAACTCTAAAATTAGATAATTATTGTCACTCTCATTTCACAGGAAAAGACAGAGGCTTAAAGAATAATGTACAGAACTAATAAGTAGAAAAAACCAGTATTTGAATTTTGTCTGACTTCAAAGCCAAACTTCTACCTCAACTCACAGTTAAAAATTAAAATATGACTAAATTCTAAACTTTTACTACTAACAACCTTGGAAAAAAGTGGGTAAAACTGTCAAGTTAACTTTGACTTATTAATTTATCTAAGAGCTGGTCTTTTATAATAATAAGTGCTATTTTATACCTTTATTATCTTTTACTTCAAAAGAGATAAACTTTTAGGGCTAGTGAATATTTAAATAACTTATACTTACATAGTCACAATGTCAAATTTTCACCCGGATTAAGCCACAAAAAGAAATAGAAGAAAACTCTAAGTAAGAAACATATTGAGATGACAGACTTAAAGAAAGCAAAAGAATCTGAAAGATGACATTATTTTTTAAAACACATAGTAAAAATAAGGTCAAAAGAGAAAAAGTTTTGGAAATAAACCGAACTATTCAAATATCTCACCTATATGTTATGAGTGGATGAAGAGGAATAAATTCTGCTGGCCCAAATTCTATAGAGCAACCAAATGTAATTAATGTTAGCAATTCACCTTGGCAGGTCAATAAAATTAGGGAGCCACGTTTTAACACACAAGCCAGAAAAAGATTATCATGGGTCCAGCTGATGTCACCTACCCAATAGGACCTAGAAAGAGCAAAAGGCAACATATTTAGAAATGACACTGTGCTTGACAGTTTATGATGGATATTTTAAATGGAGATATCTTAAAAAATGAGGGCAGGGGGCTGGGGATTTAGCTCAGTGGCACAGTGCCTGCCTGGCAGGCGCAAGGTCATAAGTTTCATTCCTGGTACCAGAAAAAAAATGAAAAACCAAAAAACAAACAAACAAACAAAAAAAAGAAATGAGGGCAAAAGAGTGGATAGCAGGTAGATGATACACATATTTACGAATTTAACTTCCTAGAAAAAGGCGCTTGTTTGCCAAGAGCTTCTCTGAGCTTGGTAAAATGCTGCTTAAGCAGGCACTCTCCCTCTTCCCAAAGCTGTCATTGTTACTCTTTTTTTTCTGGAGACAGGGTCTCACCATGTAGTTCAGACCAGCCTCAAACTCACTACATAGCCCAAGTTGGCTTCGAAATGGCACGCATACTCCTGCCTCAGTCTCCCCAGTGCTGGGATTACAGGCATGCACCACCATGCATGGCTCTTGTTACTACTTAATTCTTTGGTGATATTAATGTTTCATGAGAACAAAAAGCATCTTCTTCCCATGAAACAGCCCAATGAAGGAGACCAGTGATACTTTTGGAAAGGAACTGTTGAGGAAGGAAAGACAATTAGGAGAGCTGGATGCCTGAAAACTCTGGAAATTCTTAGACTAGAACAGGTAAGTATATGAAGCTCCAAGAGGAAATCTATTCTATTATCCAGCATAGGTCCTCTCGGTAGCTCATGTGCTATTTAAAATCACTACCAATGTTGCTACTGACTACATAAAGAAGAAACTGGTTATTTAAGAGGTCATAACAACTCCAGCTTCCTTGAGTAAATATGGTCTTCCCAATATAGGATTTTTCATTTCAGCCTTTCCTGTTATGCAGAAAATTGCTCTGCCTACACATGATTCCACTCCTCCAAAGACACAGAAAACAGTGAAAGAGAATATACACTGGCATAACTGCTAACTCACTAATCCTTTCCTTAACATATTAAAGCTTTCCTTATATAAAGCAGCTTTTAGACTCATTAAACACAAATGCTCAAGGTAAGTTACATTACCTAAATGATACCTATAGAATTATGAAAGCCTTACATTTTTTCTATTGGAAAAGAAAACAAAATACTACTTAGAAATACATACAAGTTCGTACCTGATAAGTGTAGGTGGAACTACAGGATTTTTATTGCTACATCCTTTAAGGCTACCACAGAGAATAACAAAATTCACTGTATTTATAAATAATACCTGAGTTGCCTAGAAGGAGAAAAAAGATTAAAAAAGTCATCAAAACTATTTTATCATCTTTATCACTTAAAACTCTGGAGACTAGAGGTCTTTTATAAGGGAGTCTTTTCCCAACTGGTAATACAATAATGACCCCTATAGCCATTTTCTCTTCTCTACTTTTACATCAGTTAGGACTCCAGGTTTAGTCTTTCTTTTTCCTTTTCCCTCATCATCTTTTTACTTGTAAAGCTCAGCTCTTGAAAATGATGGCAGCTAATTTAAATAACTTTACTAATCTACAATGGCAAGGTATTAGAAGACAAGAACTTAGGGTAGGAGCATAACTCAGTAGTAGATCACCTGCACAGTACACACAAAGGTCTGAGTTCAATCTCCAGCGCCATACCAACACACGCATGTACACACACACACACACACAAGTGCATGTGCAAAAGGAAAAGAAGAAAGAATGAAAGACCCAAATTAAAGAACATGATGTAGTATTAAGGAAAAAAACTCAAGGAAGGAAAACAAATCTCAAAACTGGAGTAAATACCTCTTTTCTAGGTTACTTTCCAAAACAGATTGTACTTACTAACCTTTGGGTCTTTTTGATTTAGAGTCACTGCCAAGGTAAGGCCATCTCTTGAAAAGGAAGAAATTAGAGCTCCTCTTGACTTTACTGATTCACATTTGGGAATTAGACTACATAGAAGATGGTCTTGTTGTGCCCAATGAACATTGTACGGCAATGACCTACAAAAGTGAAGCAATAACTTGAAGCAGGATATATATCTATTTTGGGGTTTTTTTGAGGGCTATTTGTTTTTCAGGATGAGGCCTCAGTATATTGCTCAGGCTGGCTTCTAACTCCTTGCTCAGTGATCCTCTTACCTCAGTCTCCCAAGTAGCTGGGATTACAGGCATGCTATTATGCCTGAGTCATACAGCGACTTTGAAACTGATATATAGTTTATAAAACATTAAAGGGTCCACCTAAAGCCCTACAAATGCACACATCCTAAGGGGCCTCTTAGTGACCTTTCAGAAGTTCTATCAGGGCACTAAAGAGCAGCTGTCATTCAGTTAAAACAACTCAGTATCAGAATTTTGTTAGCAGAGCCATTTTCCACATCAACTCCAAATATACCTGCTTATTGTTTATATAAATTCTTACAGGAATTAAAAAGCCAGAAAATCTTAATCACTTCATTTTGCTAAATCTTACCTAGACATTATATACTTTTAATGCATTGTTTTTATTTTAGTGAGCTTTTAAAAGTAAAAAGTATTTTAATTTTTGCAAACTGAGCATTTCAAAGGTACAACAATAAATCCAAACACTTATGCTCCCTTTAAATTGCAACTGAGTTATTCTTCAAAATAGTTAATTTTTTGGTCTGATGACAGGTAAAACCAGTCTGTTTTATCTTTCACACGTTCTCACTTCTAAGAGAAACAAAACAAAAACAAAAAAATTTCTAGATTAAACATTTGTCAATGACAGGTGGAGGAAAGCCTCAGAAATTGAAATTTACATTAACATTTTCTTTGTTTTTCTTAGGTAACGGGAATCAAATTTAGGAGCCCACTAGGCAGGTACTGTGCCACTGAGCTATATCCCCAGCTCTTACATTAACATTTTCAAATCTTAAATATATATTGGCCAAAAGATAGTATTTCTTTATTTTTTTGTTGTTTTTTTAGACAAGGTCTCACTATGTAGCCTAGTCTGCCCTTCAATGCATAGTGATCATCCTGCCTTAGCCTCCCAAGTGCTGGATTACAGGCATGCACCACCAAGCCTGGCTAAGATAATATTTCAAAAGGAACAGAAAATAAGGAGAAAGATATATCTTACCTTGTAGGTGTAAATACATCCTCATGCCATCGAATTGCTAGAAATGTGAGCTTCAGGCATTCCCCAGAATAAAAAGTAAATGAGCACAAGCAGCAGTCTCCAAATAACTGTAGATAAATTGAATGTACTTTTATATAAATATAAAATTAGTCTGAAAAGAACTCAAAATATAACATGTACACATTCCCCATCATTAATAAAATAAGCTGAAAGTACTGGGGCCCTGCTTCTATTTTTATTCTTTTTTTTTGGTATTTTTTGAGACAGAGTTTCACTATGCAGTTCAGGCTGGCCTTAAACTCATGGCAATCCTCCTACCTCAGCCTCCTGAGTGCTGGGATTATAGGCGTGCACCACCGTGCTTGGCTCTGTATTTTCATTCTTAACATTAAACTTAAGACTAAGAAATTTTTTTCTGAGCCAGAAGTGGGCCCACAGGGGAAATCTGGTTGGAAATTTGGGGTGGGGGCTTTGGTATTGCAGACAGAACCCAAGACCTCATATACGGTTTATCACTAAAATGCACACTATCACTAAGCTATATCTTAACCCCTCAGGTTGCAGTTTATGCTCTTAAAAAATGTGACAAAGGGCACCAAAACAAAATTGGACAAGAAAAATTAGGTCTTGTTTTTTCTTCGGCATAATAGGGTAACTACTAATTAAAAGAATCTATGGTATGTTTCAAAACAACTAGAAAAGAAGAGCACAAAACTTCTAATACACAAACATTACTCATGTTTGAAGAGATGGAAATGGTTATTATTCTGATTTGGTTATGATAGGATGTATCTATGTACCAAATTACCATTAATGCTCCATAAAGATGTACAAATACTATATCTCAAAAAAATTAAAAACCTCTATGTTATAACTGAGGAGATTCATATGTAGTTATTTTTTCCTTCATTTACATTCTTATTTACTAATCAGCAGTTGAGAGAACAGCAATAAAACATCAAAATGCAATTTCTAACAATAATTGGATTGGGGAAAAGATGTTGGTCCATATATAGACAACCAAGCAGCTATTTTAAATGTTTTATTTTTAATTAATGAATCTGTGATAAATTAAATTGCTTTTTTAATACCACCAACTCTAGCTTGTTAAATTAAAAAACAAGTTAGGGGCTGGGGATTTAGCTCAGCGGCAAAAGGGCCTGCCTGGCAAGCGCAAGGTCGTGAGTTCAGTTCCCGGTACCGGAGAACAACCAAAAAAATAAAAAATAAAAATAAAAACCAAGTTATATTTTAATTACAAAAAGAAAGGAAGTTTTACTTTCAGACCACATTTTTTTTTCTTATTTGGCACTGTGGATCATGATAGGCAAGTACTATTCCACTGAGCTATACCACAGCCCTCAAATCACTTTAAGTAGTTTTTAAACTGTGACCCAAGAAATATAAAAATATCTTTTCCATACAATACTTTCACAATTACTATGACAAGCAATAATGACTACAGACACAGGGCTTTGCCATTATAGACTCGGAGATCTCAACTTCTGCCACACTCTGATTTAGGTGTTTGTAGCGAACCACCCTGCCCCGCAGGTCCCAGATCCCTGGCCAAGTTGCCACTCGTGGGGAACCAGCCCCCCTTAGCACCCCTCCCCTCATCTCTTGTCAGGAGTACCACTCGTAGGTATCTAGTCTTGCTAGTTTGTCATCCTGACGTGGGGATGAATGAAGATGAAAGACAAACAGCCACAGAGCCAGTTTAGCATATGGGCAGCCAGGGTACTCTGTCTGGCTCATTTTCCTTTTATTCACTCAGACATGGGTACAAAATAACACAAAATTCACCTGCCTTCCAATATCCATTAATCCACACTCAGGTAAATAACCTACTCTCAGCTGTACTGACTTTTCCCTAGACCCTGCAACACGCTGTCACCTTTGCATGTTGCTCTATGCTCACAGAGGCCAATTAGGCCTCATTTGCCACTGGTCTCCCACAGGTTTTACCTCATTATTTATAAAAACAGCATTCACTACAGCTTCTTTATCTTCAGTGGAAGGCAAAAGAACGGCCTCTTCAGGTATGATCTGCGACCATCGACCCACCAAAAGGGAGTTTTTGGAAGATAAGATATTCTTTAATTCCAGATATTCCCAAAGATATATGCATCCAGAAGGCGTTATAAGCAGAACTCTCTTCCCATTTCCAGATACATATAAGTGTAGCCTTAAACAACTTGCTAATTAAAAACAAAAACAAAAAAAAACTAATTAAAACCTCTGAAGCCTGAATTCTCCCAATAAAGTACAAAACTAATCTGTTCAGGCAATAAAACAAACCAAATTATATTATTGTTTAACATGTCAAAACAAAGTGATTAGAAGGTCAGGCATGATGATGCACACCTGTAATCCCAGCTGCTTGAGAGACTGAGGCAAAAGGATCATAAATTCAAGGCCAGCCTGGGCAACTCAGTACGATCGGTCTCAATCAAACAATCAATTAAAAAAAAAAAAAAAAAAGGGCCAAGACGTAGCTCACCAATAGAGCATTTGCCTAACATACGAAGCCTTGGGTTCAGTGCTCAGTATTCGTGGCACCCGAACACACACATGTGGCACAAATCATGCATTTATTTTTTTTATTTTTTATTTTATTTAAAAAACAAATTTTATTCACTGAAAATTAGCCTCTATCTCTACTTTTGTACTAAATAAACATTTTAAAACATTATTTTGAAGGGCAGCCAAACTACCAACCTCTCTGGGGCTATCCGGTTTTAACCTCAGGGATGGGGCCTATGTACATGTAGTTTTGTGGTTGGGTGTTTTGTTTTGTTTTGTTTTGTTCAAATCATGCATTTAAAAGAACAGCAATAAGTTCTCTTTATGTGGCATTAAAAAGTCACTGTTGTCACAGAAATGTTAGGAATGCCAGATTTTTCTTCTTCAAGTGGAATCTAGGTATCACAGATAAATATCACCAAGTATTCAAAACTATATATATGTGTATATATATATATACACACACCTATATATATATACCTATATACACACACAAATATAAATGCATACAGACATACATATGCACACAGAAATACATTTTCAAAAGTTAATAGGAAAATGTTTCATCCTCTTTTTCTTTTATTTCTCCCAATTAAGCCAATTTACACAACTAAAAAAATTCTCACCCACTGCAAGTTTAATCACATCCTTAGGCTTTTTAGTTACTTGTATAGATTTCACATAATCTTGATCTTTGTTCCAAAGGAAAAGATCCCCTGTGGCAAGTACCCCAGCCAGCCAGGCATCTGTGTTAAAAAATGAAATGTGATTCTTAAAAAAAAATTTCCTTTAATATTACTCTAAACAATGAAAAATATGGTTAATCTACACTTTTGGAAATATCAGTATTTCTTAACCATTACTGGACGTTGTCAGGACAAAAACATCCTTCAAAAAAGGCTGCAGACTTGGAATCTTCTTCGTTCTTCCTGAGAGCAAATTAATTTCATTTATGGATTTATCATCCAAAAGAAAAACAGCTTCATTCTCCTAGGAGACAAAACATGTAGAGGACTTAAGTAACTTGTCTAAATACTAGCCAAGAAAGTAAAACAAAGTAACATTTAATCAAGATTTTAATCTGTACCACAAATCATAAAATAAACATTAAGGTTGATATCCTATAGTAACCTAAAGATTTTTCATTGTAATTTAAAATACTTCTTGGGGTAGGAGTACAGCTCAGTAAGGAGCATTTAAATTTAACTTTCTTTGAGGTTTCACATTATAAGGGTGTCTTCTGGTTTTGCAAGTCAAAGTGGATTATGTGCAGTTTAATCTCATCAATTTTAATAGGAGTATGAATAAGCTTTAAAAATTCTTAAGCCCTTGACTCTAATAATTATTATTTTGTCTACAGAAAGTAGGCTGTTTTGAATTAACCTTGTTTTTTAGTGCAATGGCCTTCAAAGTGCCTCTGAGTTAGCAGTAGCACTTGAGAACTTGTTAACAATGCAAATTACCCAGCCTCACCCCAGACTGCTGAGTTGAAAACTGGCAGTAAGACCAGCCACCTGGCCATTTTAATAGCTCATTCAGATGGTCCTGGTGCACTGTAAAACTTGGGCACTCATGTTTCAAGGAATCGAATTCGTGGTATAATTTCTCACAGGAAATGGGACACTTTACTTCAATAAACAATTCTAAGAGAATTTTATAGGGTTGCCCACTTTTCCTAAGGTAAGGAATTCATAATATATGTTATAAATGGTGCTCCCAGATTATTATCTTATGGCCCATCTCTTCTGTCCTACCTCTGAGGACATTTTATAGCAAATTCATGAAAATCACAATTGGAAGACACATTGTGCTTGACTATTCTGTTAAAGGACGTTCAGGAGATTAAACATTCCCTTTTTCTCTTTTGGTCTTTTTGAGACAGGGTCTCGCTATGCAGTTCAGGCTGTCCTTGAGCTCACTTTGTAGCCAACGCTGGCCTCGAACTCACAAGGATCCTCCTGCCTCAGTCTCCCAACTGCTGGGATTACAGGTGTGCGCCACCACGCTCGGCGAACATTCCCTTTTGATATATGCAATATCAGCCTTCCTTTTTTTTTGAGGCAGGGTCCTATTATGTAGTACAGGCTGTCTTGAACTCACTATGGAGCCCAGGCTGGTTTGGAACTCATGGTGATCTTCCTGTCTCAGCCTCCCAAGTGCTGAGATTACAGTTAACCTACTTTTATATAAAGGAGAAAATGTCTCAAAAAAAAATTTTTAGAAATTCTAAAAAATTTCTTTCTAGACAAACTATGGTGAATTTGTTCATTAAATGAAGCACATGCAAAACCCTGTTCAGGGGTCAGATGATCCTCATGAGGATGGTGTTTTATTTCTTTAAGGCCATAGAACATTTTTACATCTATAGAAAAAACACATACTTCACATTTATAAATCTGGTTTTGTATGAATAAAGAAAAACTTACGTGTCCCAACCAGGAAATTCTCGGCCAGGGTCTTTTCTGCTTGATACTTGTTGATGTCAAAACTTCTAATTTTATCTCCATGCTTGTTAAGGTACCAGTGACCAATTAAGCAAAACCAATATGCTGTAAATAACAGTAATAATAATAATAAATAGCCCATAATATTGACTACACATCATAACTTAGAATTTTTATAGTTTGATAATTATTTTTCAATAGCTCAGATCAACTCTTTCTTAGGGTAAGAGGTTGACAATGCATTCTGTATCTTATCCTAAATAGTCAGGCAAAATATATTCGCTTTCTTTTTTTTTTGTTTGTTTTTTTTTTTTTTTTGGTTTTTCTCCGGTACCGGGAACCGAACTCACGACCTTGTGCTTGCCAGGCAAGCGCTTTGCCGCTGAGCTAAATCCCCAGCCCCCTATATTCGCTTTCTTAACACATTACTTCTTAAATATAGAAGATACGCATGAACTAGGGGGATCTTGATGATAAAATTTCTATGTAATTTACCTTTCTCAGTGTGGCTGATTGGATTTTTCAAAGATGGCCATAACAACACGGCCTATCTCACGTCTTCTTACTGTGATTGTGATACTTCTCCCCCCAGTGCCATGGTCTCTGCCTTTTCCCTTGGGAAAGGGCCAGATTTTGTAACTATTTTGACTAAGAGAGTGCAATGGAAGTGATCCTATGAATTTTCCAACATTAAATCATAAAAAGGTAATGCACCATATAAGCAGTCAAGCTTATGAGCCTACCAAGCTACAAGAAAGTCCACAGCTCATATAAAAACAAGTTGTGCCACACATGGGGACACACCCCGTTTCCCAGCACTTGCGGGGAGGCTTAAGCAGGAGGATCGCCATGAATTCCAGGCCAGCCTGGCCTACATAGTGAGCTCAAGGCCAGCCTGATCTACATAGTGAGACTCTATTTCAAAACAATAAAAGCAGCAACAACACAACCACCACCAACAAAACGAAGTCCTGAGACAGCAGAGAATGAAAAATATTTACTTGCAAACCCCAAGTTGGGTGTGGGGATAGTTGTGGCAGAGAACAAGAAAAATCTGTTAAAAATCTGTTAGAGTGGGCCGGGGACATAGCTCAGCGGCACAAGCACCTGCCTGGCAAGTTCAAGGTCCTGAGTTTGATTCCTGGTCCCCAAAAAAGAAAAAAAAATCTATTAGAGTAAAGAGGATTCTCAGGTGGAGACCACGGGCATGTAGAGCCAGAGCCTAGGCAGGGTGAGGGGAGCACAACCTTATAAGAATGGCCCATTATTTCTTTTGTTTTGTTTTGTTTTGGGTTTTTTTTTGTCTTTTTTTTTGAGACAGGGTCTCGATATGCAGTTCAGGCTGGTCTTGAGCGCACTTTGTAGCCCAGGCTAGTCTCGAACTCAAAACGATCCTCTTGCCTCAGCCTCCTGAGTACTGGGGTTACAGGCGTGTGCCAGCACGCCCGGCTGAATGGCCATTATTGGGAGAACATTTGGAACAGTGCAAGTAAGCACAAAAATCACTGTGAAAGAGAATCTCATTGACCAAACTGAAGGAACATGAACATAAAAGCAAATTATAGTAATGGATGAAAACAGGAAAATGATTTCATAAAAGTGAATAAATAGAACATTTGATTAAAATAGGACAATTACACATGATTCAGGTAGCTCCTTACTTAACCTAGTGATCAAAATAAACACTATCAAGGAACGGAAGAAGTCAAATTATCATTATTTGCAGATGACATGATCCTTTCCATTGAAGACCCAAAATATTCCACCAGAGACTCCTACAATAACCAAAATCAGGAGTGTATCAGGAACAAAAATCACTAGCGCTCCTGTACACCAACAATGAAATCACCAAGAAAGAAATTAAAACAATACTATCCATTATAGCACCAAGAAAAATTGAATACTTAGGAATTAACCTAATCAAGAAAGTAAAAGACCTCTACAACTACAGCATTCTTAAAAGACAGATCAAAGACATCAGAAAATGGAAAGAAATTGAGCAGAAAATGGATAGGCAAAACCAATGCTGATGGTTATACTTCTAAAACTGATATACAGAATTAATGCAATCCCAATCAAAATACCCATAGCATTCCTCACAGAACCAGAGAAGGCCATCCTAAAATTCATAGGGAACCAGAAGACAGCCAGAATAACAAAAGAAATCCTGGGTAGTAACAGCAAAGCAGAAGGCATCAAAATCCCAGATTTTAAGTTCTACTACAAAGATACAATAGTAAAAACAGCATGGCCCTGGTACAAAAACAGACTTGTGGATCAACAGAACAGAAGGCAGGATGTAGAAACACCTCAAGGCACATTCTGCTATCTAATCTTTGACAAAGAGGCAAAAATATATACTGGTGGAAATATAGCCTCTTTAGAAAATGGTGGTGGAAAAAACTGGCTATCCACTGGGAGAAACTGAATTTAGACCCTTATCTCTCAACATGTACTAAACTAAAATCAAAAAAGATCAAAGGTCTGAATGTGAAAACAAAAAACTGGGATGGAAGATAAAATATGTAAAATTTTTAATGACATAGGTATAGGCAAGGACTTGCTGAACAGAACCTCCATTGCACAAGAAATAGCACCAAGAATCAATAAATGAGATTGTACCAGATTAAAAAATTTCTGCACAGCAAAAAAAACAACACAGTGAAAAGACAACCTACAGAAAGGGAAAAACATTTTGCCAGCTAATCCTCAGACACAAAACTTATATCTAGAATATAAGAAACTCAAAAAATTAGACTTTCCAAAATAAAAGACCCAATCAAAAATGGGCAATTGAAGTAAATAAATTCTCAGAAAAAAAATAAAATGAAATAAAATAAAATGAAGTAAGTTCTCAGAAAAAGTACAAATGATCAATAAATACATCAAAAAATGTTCACTATGTCTAGGTATTAGAGAAATGCAAATTAAAACAATACTGAGAGCTGAGTGTGGTAGCGCACACCTATAATCCCAGCACTTATGAGGCTGAGGTAGGAGGACTGCCACAAATTCGTGGCCAGTCTGGGCTACACTGGGAGTTCAAGACCAGCCTGAACTACATGGTGAGACCCTGTCTCAACAAAACAAAACAAAACAAAACACCAAAAAAACTCACTGAAATTCCACCTTACTCCAGAAAGAATGGGTGGCCATCATCAAGAAATCAGATAACAACAAATGTTGACAAAGGCTGCAGGGAAAAAGGAACACTTTTATACTGCTGGTGGGAATTGAACTAGTACAAGCACTATGGAAATCAGTATGGAGATTCCTCAAAAAACTAAAACTAGAAATTCCATTCGATCCACCTATACCCCTTCTAGGAATCTTCTCAGAAGAGTTAAAGACATCCTATTACAATGCTACATGCATAACCATGATTACAGCAGCACAACTCACAATAGTTAAATGTTGTAAGTAGCCTATATGTCCATCAACAGATGAATGGATTAAAAACATGTGGCATTTATACACATGGGGTATTACTCTGCCTAAAGTGGGATAAACTTGACTCATTTGTAGGAAAATGGATCCACGTCAAGACCATAATTTTAAGTGAAATAAACTAGACACTGAAGCTTAAATATCATATAGTTTCTATGAAAAACCCAAAATATAAATAAAGAGTAAAATAAAAGACAAATAATAGAAAATAGTGAGGCAGAAGATATGCAAAATGGAAAGGGGACCAAGAGATGAAGGGAGGGGAAAGAAGGGAGGGGGAAAGGGAAGCAAGAGGAATGAAGATCTGTTATATACATGGATCAGCTCCCCATGAGGAATATAATGATTATGTACTGTAAACATGTATCAATGACAATTTTAAAAAGGAGAAAAAATGAGTATTATCAGAAATCCTACAAATGGAAATCATGTGCTACCTAACAGGTGAAATGAGAAGAACTCTGTGATACATACATTTAAGATACATAACTTGAATCCAAGCATAAGAAAATATTGGGTAAGCCCAAGTTGAGGGACATCCTTTGAAATAACTGTTTGGTAACCTTCAAAATGTCAATGTCATGAAAGTCAAGAAAAGACTTAGGAAATACTTTCAAATGGAAGACCAGACAATGAAACGCAAGGAATAACTGAAAGCTTTATCACTGTGTTATAAAGGATGACAGCAGACAGGCAGAAAAACTTAAATAAGAAACTAAATATTAAATGGTTGTATACATAAATCTTAACTTTTTCATTTCAGCAGTTATCCTGTAGTTAAGTAGAAGAAAGTTCTTATTACAAAAACTACATACTAAAATATTCTTGGATAAGGGAGTATCAGTTTGTTATTCAAATGGCCCATGAAAGTGTACTATATTTGCAAATTTCTGTGAGTTTGTAACTTTCAAATTTTTAAAATTAATTAATTAATTAGGGGTTTTTTTGAGACAATCTTGCTATGTAGTGCAGGCTGATCTTGAACTATCATCAAACTCTTGACGATTCTCTTCCCTCAGCCTTCTGAGTGCTAGGATTACAGGTGTGTGCCACCACATCTGGTTCAAATATTTTGAAATTTAAAATTTGATAAATCTTGAACAAAGATGGCATTTGATCATTGGCCTTTATTGTATTCAATTAAATCCTTTTTTTGGCAGTACTAAAGATTGAAGGATGCCAGGCAAATACTCTAACAATGAGCTACATCTCCGCCCTCTTCCTTTATTTTTTTTTAAGATTCTATCTTCCTATTTAAGGTTCTACTTTCCTAATTCCATTTGGTCCATGCAATTAAAAAACTGAATTTATTTGCCATAATTAATCCCATCCCTAACAAGAAAACAGTTGAATGTTTCCTAGTAACACAAGATTTAAAAGAAAAACCACTAGCCTGCAGGGGCAGAGCACATGTAGAGCATACTCAAGGAATGGATTTGATCCCTAGCACTTCAAAAAGAGAAAAGAAAAACTATATACAGGACCCTTGGCCTATCAAGATACTCACAATCTCCATATTTATACCACTGCAATTTTATTTTCCATATGTTTATGTATTTGTTGGCACTGGAGCTCAAACACAAGGCCTTGTGTATGGTAAGGATATGTTCTATTGTTGAGCCACACCCCCAGACTAAACATGTTTTTTACTTGCTCGGCACTCTGAAGGTCTAGAAGGTTACTTCCTTAGACAGTATTTATATATAAATATATGTAAGATACAAATATAAAAATTACAGGCTGGAACTGGGGGATGTAGTTCAATAGGGAGTTTGCCTAGCATATATATATGCAAGGCCATGAATTTGAACCATAGCAAACAAACAGAAAAAATTTTTTAAAATTACAAATAAAAGAAATTCTTTCCAAAGAACTATCAAATGGAAGTTCCTTCCAAAGAACTAACAACTGGGGATATAGCTCAGAATTAGAGGGTTTGCCTGGCATGCACAAGGCCTTGGATTGATCCCTAGGCATCACAAAAAATAATAATAAAAAATTTAAAACTAAAGTTGAATCTGTGTCTAAATCTAACCACCACTTGACAATAGAGACTGAAGGAATATTTTAACACACCAGAAGAATACAATCAACCAAATTAAAAAAAAAAAAAAAAGACCTAGCTGGGTGTGGTGGCACACATCTGTAATCCCAGCACTCAGGAGGCTGAGACAGGAGGATCGTTGGGAGTTCAAGACCAGCCTGGGCTACAAACTGAGCTCAAAGCCAGCCTGAACTGCATAGCAAGATCCTGTCTCAAAAAGACAAAAAAAAGAAAAAAAAAAAACAAACAAACTAGAAATAATATTCTACAGAGTAAATGATGTTGTTTCGTCAACAAATAAGTGGCATTTTTAAAAGAAGGAAGAGGAAACCATTACATATCTATAACTAAATACATAGCAGGACTGAGTAAATGAATATATAGATAGGTGTTAATAGGAGCTAGAATTAACTGTGGAAGGAAGGGTACCTACACAGTGTAGGAATTCATAATTTCTATCTCTATATGCTAAAACAACCAAGAAGGCATGACAGTGCAGCAGGGATGACCATTCCTACCACTTGGATCTTGGTTCCCAAATACCACATCTCACTAAGAGGAACCAGGGCTCTTTGGGGAAACAGCTGATTTCAGGGCTAGTATAGTGAAACAGCCAAATAGACCTGAACTATCGTGTTCCAAACTAAGGCACTGAATACATGCTAGGAACATATCAAAAGATATAGGAATCAGCTTCATGGCCCAAATTTGGGACAGTCCGAAAACGGAAATAAATAAGCAACACGTAACAACCTATTAAGAATCAGTGAGGCAGGAGGATTGACAAGAGTTCAAGGCCAGCCGGGGCTACAAAGTGAGCTCAAGACCAGCCTGAACTGCGTAGTGAGACCCTGCCTCAGAAAGATCAAAAATAAATCAATGAGACCAGGCTGGGGATATAGCTCAGCAGCACAGCACCTGCTAGCAAGTGCGAGGTTGTGTGATTCCCAGTCCAAAAATAAATAAATAAATAAAACCATAGTGATACAATGGCAGATGTGAAATGTTACCATTTTGCAGAATCATAAAGAAAGTAAATTCTGTCATGAATCATCAACGGATGCTAAATCAAGCAAAACGAAGGGAGGGATCTGATGAGGAATGTAGTCTATAAGTATCTCTGCCCAAATTACTTAATAATTTTTTAAAAATTAGTAAAATTATAGAGATAAGGGATAACATCTTAACCAGAGAAGGGCAGACATCATGCTCTTCTGGATGCAACCACACAAAAAAGACCTGACACTGGTTATATAGTTTTTCAGCCTAAAAATGCAAATCTAAGTCAACTTATGAGAAAACAAATCCAAATTGAGAAAAATGATATAAAAAGGGGCTATTATTTCTTAAAACTGCTAGTGTCATGAGAACCAAAAGATCAGTTGTTCTAAACTAAAGATGATTATATAGAGCAATTAAATGCAATATAATATCCCAAACCATATCCTGTACAGGAAATTCGCTGTAATAGCTTTCTGAAAATTGGTAAAATTAGAATATAAGCCAAAGCACTGATAAAAGTAATGTATTAATGCTAAATCTGAATTTGATAACATCATCAATCTTAGGATACATGCTATACTGGGGGAATAAATTACTGTATGATATATGAAACCTACTCTCAAACAGTTCAGAAAAAATTAAATACTTTGTGTATGGACATTTATAAACAAAGTATGTACAAATATAAACAATGGGATAACCTGGGTAAAAGTACAAGAATACTCTGTAATATGTTTCCCACTTCTGGGTAGATGTGAAATGATTTCAAAATCTAAAGACCTGCCAGAGGTGGTGGTGCATGCCTGTTATCCAGGGTACTGAGGCTGCCAAGGTCAGGACGCCTTGACATCTGGGCAAGACTCTGTCTCAAAACACAGAAAAAAAATTAAAAGGACTGAAGAAGTAGCACGTAGCTCAGCACTCCCTGGGTTCAATTCTTAGTACTGAGGAAAAAAGAAAAAAACTTTTAAAAAGACAACTGAGAAAAACTGCACCTAGTTCCTGAAGAATCAAGACTCTTATCAGTGACTCTAATAGATTCCACCAGATGTCAACCAATTAATATTACTTTAGGTGTTGTATGATGACTATTGTAATTATATCTTTTTAAAAATAAAGAGCCCTCACCTGTCCTAGATATGAGATACAGTATATACTTATGCGAGGAATCTGCTTTATAATACCCCAGCTGCACTTATGCTTTGGAATTAAAATGTACAGGATAAAAAGACAGCTAACCACTTCAGCAGCTGCGGACAGGGCCTTTCTCATCTTTCCGAACTCGGAACACCACCCAGTTACGTAGCACAGGTTATTTCTGCTGCGTACCACCCCGCCTCTCCAAAGTACCTCTGTTGGAGGGACAGTAACAAGCATCGCAAAGCAGAATTACTGAACGGAAGAGCCCTGCAAGCAGGCAAACTACGTCAGAAGGAATGACACACGCCAAGTACGGGGGCGGGGTTACCTTTATTCAAAACAAGTCGACGGGTGGGATTTCAACAGACCACGTCCAGTTCGTCCGCCGCGTCCACGTCCGGGGCGTCCGGGAAACCGCGTCCATTCCCGCGCGCGCAAATAATCTCCGTCTAGGCTCAAACACAGGGGTCTCGCCGGACGCTCTGGCAGGAGTCGCCCCAAGGGTCGGCGCGGGGCGTCGCCGGGGACCCGCGGGGAAGGCGCGGCCGGCGGAGGCGGCGGCGGGAGCCGAG